CGAAGCAGTGTACAACCATAGACTGTATATAAGAGTGGACAGTACGGCTGTGTCCAAAATGGCAGACTTCCATACTACATAGTGCACCAAAGCGGTACAAGAGAATAGTTAGTGTGTCCGAATACGCAGTGTTCATTGGACAGTACACAAATATTCCCTGGACGGTGCGCTACATCGGGAGAAATTTTGAAGTATGTGACCACAGCACACTGCCCTCTCCCATCTATCCCATGATTCCACTGCGTCCGAAATGGCATACTGAAGAGGTACATAGTACTCGACTGTTAAATAAGTATATTCTTTCAGTGTGCGAGTGCGCAGTGTCCACACATCCTTGGACACACTACATCCGCCATCTTACCAATGACACCAAGTTCTTTCAACTGTGATGTCTCGTCAGTAGCGCCAAAGTTTAATAGGCTTGATAAGGTCAGCACCCCACTGACTGTTTGCCACTGCCGGTCCCCCCTCGGACCACCCAGGTTACTGTCCTGCATAAAAGCTCTAACTAGTTTTTAATCTCCCCAAACAAATTTTAAATGCACAGAGACTTTTATTTAAAAAAAATAGTTTGAAAAAATAGGCCTAATATAGTATAGTATAACTAAAGAATAGTATAACTAAAGAAAAATAAGTAAATTGGACTGTGAGTGAAAAATGAGTGATTATAATTGGAATTTTGTCTAATACTCTGCTTAACCACCAGTGGGCCACCCAGAAAACCCTGAACAAAATGCCAGTGGACCGCCAGCTTTGCCATTAGCGGGCCAACAGTGGCCCACTATCCTCTTGCTATCAGGTCTGAGCATCATTGTGGTTCTTAACAGGCACTCAGTGTTTGGACAGGCCGGTTACGTTTTAATCAGCATTCAATAAGAATAAATAAAAGGAGCAAAGCGATTTCAACAATAACAAAACTCTCCTTAAAGAGGGTAGATGAGAAAGTACGGCGCCTGCCTGCTCTCCATCAGCATGACTAGTGTACAGTTACACCACCAGTAATGTTAATCCAGGTTTTAGATTTTTAATTGTTATCACTGATTATGTAAATTGCCCTGGAGAAACAACACCAACAATAAATGACTCATGCAAACTTTTTCTGATGCATTTGTTATTTTGCTCAAAAATTGAGACATTTCACAAACTTTTCTCATAATAACGAACAAATGATAACACAGCACTGTTTAATTCAAGAACCTACCGTTTTCAGTCACCACTGTGAGTCTTATTTAGCGTCAATCCAGCAGCGCCCTCTCCTCACGCTGGGGCTGAATCTCAAACTGCTCCCTGCTCCCTACATAGTGCACTACGTAGGAGTTTAAATACTGGTTCCTGCAATCAAACAGTGCTTAATATAGCTAACAAATAATCACACCTGACAAATAGGGCACTATTTAGCTATAGAAGCTAGAATTTTAAAACTTCTATAGCGCTCTTTTAAGGGAGTACAGAGCTGTTTGAGACTCAGCCTGGGTTTGATGCGACTTCTGACTGAAACACGAATATTTGAAGCTTGTAAGACATTCAAGTGACATTTTTTAAACTCTTATATTGCAGTTTTACAGTGAATCATATCATAAGTACTTTAATTCAAGCCTGTGATTTGTTTAGTGTCTTTAATATCTTTTAGCCTGTTAGCTGACCAGCCTAGTTCTACTTAAGAAAATAAGTTGTCAGTTAAAACAGAACCAGTTACTCCGTCACTGCACTCGGCGCTCCATGCAAGCAGGATTAGAGTCAAAGATCATTGCATTAACAGCACAAGGATTTTTCGGGGGTGCAGTTCAGTCGTTGTGAGGCGGTCATAGCAGTGCAGAGATCACGTATTTTACAAACAGATTTTAGGACGGAATCTATGCGTTTTATAACGGTCTTTACTAAGAGGAGAAATGTGACTGTCTGCTTTTGTAATAAAAGAGAAATATTCACACTTCTGAGCTTGTTGGCTAAAAGCACAGCTTGACTTCACATTTTTATCTTTCAGAGCTCCAGAGGTATAAGATGTAGTGAAGTAAACGTAAACTATGTCGTCTGGAGTTCTGCTGCGGTGAGGTAAATAGCATTTCTAATGGTTGAAAATAATTAAAGTAGCATTGATGCTGTGTTCAATTTTTGTTCTTTCAATGTTTCAATTGATTCAGGGTAGAAAAGTGATTAAGAATAAACAGCAGATTAGAAAGTTGATTCAGTGATGTTTACGATGACAGTTCAACTTGTCTTCAATGACTGTTTGCTGGCTTAGTTTGGCCTAAAACTTACTTCTTACATACATGCAGGGTGTTGTGAGGCAAGATAGTCCCCAAAAGCGTATTTTTAAAGATTTTACCATTTGGGGAATTTGAGGAAAGACCACGTATGGAACTTCTGTCACTCCCCTTCCTACATCCAAATATACCTTTCTCTGCATCTCATGATGCCCTGCGATGGACTGGCGACCTGTCCAGGGTGTTTCCTGCCTTCCGCCTGATGATAGCTAGGATAGGCTCCGGCACACCACCGCGACCCAGAAGGATAAGCGGTTTAGATGATGTGTGTGTGTGTGCGTGCATCTCATAATGAAATTTATCACTGATTGAGCTTCGCACTACTCACCTGCTAATGCTGGCTTGACATGGGCCTCGACATTATTGCCTCTGATGATGACCTCTTCACTGGAAGCCAACGTCCATCCTCCCCGAACTCTGCACGTCCCATGCCAAGGCTCAAGTCTGTCATGACAGTTCCCAAGCCACCTCCATCTTGTCCAGGTCTTTCTGACTTCTATGGCTCCTCCAGCCTGGACACCATGTGCTCAGCATGGACACTGCATACCCCAAGCTTGCTACGCTTTCTATGTTTTCGTGCCTGTCTACCTCCAAATCCCAACCTCCTTCTACCTCCACCTGGACTGTCGCCTGTTTTCTCTCACCTTTCTCCTCCTCCCTGTGATTTTTCTGTTCCACCTTCATCTCTGCTCCTCCTTCTCCATCTCAGCTCCTTCCTTCTCTTTTTTAGCTTCTTCCTTCTTCATCCCAACCCTTCCTTCTTCTTACAAGATCCTTTGCAGATCCTTCAAGGTGAGGATATCAACCTCAGTCTCATTCGCTGTATCAGGCTTCTTTGACTATCACTGTCTGTTCTTAGCCCACACGGCTGGCCGCTTCCACTGGGGCCACATGGACCTGGAGCTGGTACTGTCACATTTTTGCAGGTTGCACTGCTCTCTCCTACAACCTGTGTGGTTACCCATCCCACTCTGCCTCCTCTTGTACTCTCATTGCTTCTCCATCTTCCACCTGTGCACTCATCCCTGCCGCCATGCCCACACCTGTTCTTGCCACATCCAATTCCCACAACAGCTGCAGGCAGCCTGTGGTCTACCTCAAGGGCCAGATAATCTGATCTGCCTCACCTTTGGCTGCAAGACTAGCTCCAAAATCTTTGATACCCTAGCCAAAGCCATGTGTTGGATCCTGCTGAATGTTCGCAGACTGCCCTATGTGTTCCACCTCCTCGATGACTTCCTCTTCATTGACACCTCTTCCTCCCCACCTACTTGCCACCTCTTGACCCTGTCTTCCACCTTCCAATGTCTCGGCATCTCTCCCTCCCCAGAAAAGATGGAGGGCCCGTCTGCTTCACTCGAGTTCCTTGGCATACTGCTTGACCAAGCTTCAACTCCTCCTTCCTTGGACAACATTTGCATCATACCACAAGGACACTCTTTCATCTCACTCCTCCTCAGCATCCTCTCCTCAGTTGCTTAGCTCCACCACCTTCTTTCCCTGGACAATGCCTGAATGATGGAGCTCCATTTCTGGCTACTTCTTCTCCAACACTGTGATGCCGTCTCCTTTTTCTGTCAGGACACCATATCCATCCCTGAGGATCTGCAAGTTTTCACAGATGCTGCCTCTTCTATTCTCTTTGGGAGCTTCTGTTGTAACTGTTGGTTTGCCTCTCCTTGGCGTCCTGTATTTGCTCTGCTTTCCCTTGAGTCTAGCGATTCCTTTGCCCCTCTACTTTACCCTGTTGTCATTGTTGCACTCTTTTGGGATTACAAATGGGCGAAACAAGTCATCCTTATCCACTCTGACAAATCCATAATTGTTCACATCATCAATAAAATGCATTCCGAGTCCCTAACACTTATGCCATTTCTCCGTCGTCTCACTTGGCACTCATTCTTCAAGCCCTGGAAACAAATTAAGTGCAGTTACCCCTCACACCCTGTCAACATACTAGTCAGGATGAAGATCCTTCCAGCACTTTCATGCATCTTGCAGCATTCCTTTCTCTTCAGACAACCTTTCAGCAACAGCTCCATTCTTTACCTTTCCCAGTTTACACCTGGCCATTCACTCTTCCACCTTGTGAGTCTACTTAGCTGGGATCAACTTCTTCAACAAACACATCAGTGGATCTCTGCATGCTACTGCTAACCACCCTCAGTTCTCAATTCTTCTTAAAGGGATCCAAAGAAACAAACCTTGTCTTCAACCTCAGCAGCTGCCCTTAACTTCCAACATCTTGCGCCACTGCATGCAGATGCTCCAAGCTAGATTCTTCCCGAAGGCCATCTTCACAACATTAGAAGTCCTCTTTCCACTCACTTAGATGTTCAGAACACACAGCTCCATCAGAGACCTTCAACCTAACTCTCCATCCCTGCCTGTCTGACCTAACAGTACTCAGATACACAGATAGATATGATATTAAGCAAAATACAGGATTAACCTGAAGATTAAACCTCATAATGGTATTGCTGTAAAACACCAGCTCCCTTTGTTAACAGAGAGGCCATCAAATAATCTGTAATAGTGAACAATCAAGCGCAAATGGTTAATATGTCCAGACAAATATAAACACTTCAGAAGACTTTATTTTCAAGACTAATAAAGAAAAGCATAAATATGCATGCTTCAAGAACAAACCTTTTTGCTGTTCTATTGAGTGTCCACTAGAGGGCGGCATTTAGCACCGATTTCTGTCTACAGAGCCAGGGTGACTGGAGTTCCTCCACTTCCAATACTCAATATATAGTAAAACAAAGTGTTTTGTCCACTTCTCTGGACCCTTGAGTCACATCATATTCCCATTATTTTTGCGTAATATATCAGACACACCCAAAGGAGGAACCCAGAGCTTCTGGAGTATTTAAAGCAGACAGGACACTGGAGCCCATGCTGCCTGATGCGAGGCTCAGCTGCAGATCATGACTCTTCTTCCTCTGCTCGCCTGTGTTCTGCTGGGAGCACTCAGTGCTCAGGCCAAAGTGATCTCAACGTTTAATGAGTGCAGGAGATTTTTTTACAAAGGAGTAGAACCACAAGGAATGGATCAGAACGCTGTTAAAATCTGTCAGAAATATGGAGGGAGCTCATCATCACACTACGCCACTCTCTACTCGACGCACCACCGAATTCCTCTGTACAGCGCGTACACATTTAACCCTGGAGGCGGGAGTACAGGGCAATCACTATGGTTTATTGAGCCACAGGTAAAATATATAATACAATCTATAACATATATATGTATTGTGACGAATTTTAGGGTGTGGTTTGTATGGTCTGCGCCGCAGCCCTGCTCCCTCTGCTCCCCCTGCTAGACTGTTATCAGTGTTGTTTAATGTTGTTTGTGTTGCTGGTCTTTGGTTTAAAATGTGTGTGTAATGTTTTGCGTTGAACCTGGGCTTAGTTACCGTGGGTTTGTGTTGGTAACTGTTTTTTCGAATGGCATTTCTGCCTTGTTCTAAATAAACAGCAGAAATTATGGCCTTACTTGACTCTTCTTTTGCTCAACACCACAGTACATTTAGTTTTTATCAGCTTCGTCGCTCATGTGAAATTCTTTTCTAAGATCTTTTCACCAGAAAGGCTAATTTTATCTTGATTTTGAACAGAATACATTTTTGAGCACACATTTTTTAACCTAGGAAGATGCGGGCCTTGGAGATGTCATTTAAACTGTCATAAATGTTAACAGTTTATATGCAAATGTTGGTCTGAGTGAAAATAATGCATCCTCTACAAAATGTTTTTTTTTTCAATATAAACTCAAACAAATGGAAACAAACAAATTCAGTGAAATGGAAATTGTGCAGAAAAAAAATGTCTTGTACATTTTTAACATACTAAGAGCTGTTTGCATGCTTATATGGTTCTCTGCAGGGTGAAATCGTTCTTCAGATTGATGAAGAATGTGCTGTATATGCTTCTATACGGCCAGACATTTAAACGTTTGCACATGACTTTAAATGTTAAACAAAAACATAGAAAAATTACTTTTAGTTCCTCCGTGAATGTTTTCAGAGAGACGGTCAGCTGGGAAGCACAGTGCAAAGTTTTTCATCAGTGCCACCTCTTTTTTTCTTGGGAAGGAGGTTATCGACAATATCTTTCACTTTCGTTTAGTGGTACCCCCCACGCCTTGAATGCAGAAAGAGACTACAGTGAATTAACTGGGGTTTCTGGTCTTTTGCTTTTTCATTATAGGTTTCAGGATTCAATGAAGAAAAAATGAGCCCGGAGTCAAAATTCAACAGTGATGCAATAAAAAGGAACCAGGCCCTCAACAGTGACTACAGTTACACAGGATACGACCGCGGGCATCTAAACCCCCAGAGCTTCCAGCGTGACGAAGGCCGCGTAGCAACGTTCACCCTGACCAACGCTGCGCCCATGGATCCGTGTTTTAACCGCGTCCGCTGGTCTCAGTGGGAGAGAATGCTGAAGAATCTTCTCAATATTATGCCTTCAACTGCCTACCTCGTCACCGGCACCGTCCCTCGTCCAGACTTCCGCATACCTCAGAGAGAGTATTCCATGAGCCGTGACTTTCAGAGGGTGACTGTGCCCTCGCACGTTTGGACGGCGGTCTGTTTTAAGCACCCCTTTGTTGAAGAGGAGTCATTTTCTTTTGGCTACATGGGACCAAATGAGCCGGACGGTAAAATTGAGTTGATGACTGTTCCACAAATGAATGTTATGCTGACAAATCTTTATAAAAACCCTTCGTCTGTTAAGATTTTCACTGACGATTGTTTCTCTGAGAGCAGGAAATCCGAAGAGGTTCAAGAAAAGGTGAAAGCAATTCGAGAGCCGTTGAAACTCAAAATAACCGAAGGTGACCAGACCAGTTATAAAGATATGTCCACATATTTCTGGCAAACAGAGATAATGAAGGCAGGAATTAAGACAGCTTGTGTTGTAAAAGAGATCAAAGGAAAGTGGACTGAGCCCGACGACCTCAGAAAGAGGGACATGGACGAGGGGTCCGATGGTGTTAAGTGTCAGCAGGTCCTAGAGAAATCTGACGCTGCGGCGATGACTGCGGCAGATGGCACGCGTTGTCTGAGTGGTGAGCGCTACTGCAAAACGGAGAACGGCTTCAAGCCCTGCTGCACCACGCCTTGCTTATATCAGGAGAAACTCAAGGGCTACTGGTGTTCCTCAGGCCAAGCTCAGATCCAGTGCTCACCCCAGTACTCTGCCATCACGGTTAAAGGGAACAACTGCAAGGAAGACCACCCGTGCGGCAAGTACGACGAAGACTACTACTGGTGTAAAGTGCCAGGCCTCTTGACGTCTTGGGACTACTGCAGCCCTCCGCTTTGGAGGAGCAAAGCTATAAATGGGCACTACTGCCGTCCCAACCACGCCTGCGCCAAATACGGTGAAAAGTATTACTGGTGCTACACTGATTTCAACAACAACTGGAACTACTGCTGCACCCATGACCACTGCCTCTCAGCTGTAGATGGCAAAACCTGCAAGCCTGACCACCCGTGTGGCTACTACAAGAAGAGTTACCTGTGGTGCTACACCACTGACGGCAAATGGGACTACTGCTGCAAGCAATGTCGGTAGAAGCAGACATTAGAAACCCATCAGTGCATCTGTCACTGAAGTAGGGCTCCGCGAAGCTGATATACTAGAGCGTTTAATTTACGTCACGTAATATAGAACTTAAACGAGCTTCACTGATTAACACAGCACTGAGCTAAAGACAGAGACGCCAATTAAAGGCACAAGTTATTCATTTTTCAGGAAATATTTCAGCAGAGATTAGATTTAAGATGTTGAACTGTTCAACCCAAACTGTTCAAACCTGCATGACTGTATCTCTTGCTTTATATCTCTTTATTAAACCACAAAAACTAAACAGAAATGATTCTATCATACATATACAGAGTAGAGATTTTATTGTGTCAATAAAACTCTGTATGGGTGGCACGGTGGCGCAGTGGGTAGCGCTGTCGCCTCACAGCAAGAAGGGCCTGGGTTTGATTCGCGGCCGGGTGACCAGGGTCGTTTCTGTGTGGAGTTTGCCTGTTCTCCCCGTGTCTGCGTGGGTTTCCTCCCACAGTCCAAAGACATGCAGTCAGGCTGATTGGACGTGCTAAATTGCCCCTAGGTGTGAGTGTGTGTGACTGTGTATGTCTGTCTGTCTGCCCTGCGATGGACTGGCGACCTGTCCAGGGTGTATCCTGCCTTCCGCCCAATGACAGCTGGGATAGGCTCCAGCACCCCACCGCGACCCAGAAGGATAAGCGGTTTAGATGATGGATGGATGGATGGATAAAACTCTGTCTGATTTGCGTGCTGTTGTCAATATTTTTGCAAAAAACTCCAATATTAATAAATATGGTGATAATTAAGAAGAAAAATTAAGGATTATTAATAACTGTTATGGCATAATGCAACAAACAATCACAATATAGTATGATTCCATCACAGTGCTTCTTTCTTTTTCTTGTTAGTGACTATAACTGAACAAAAAAGTCTATTTTAGTTTTAATTGGACTTTTAAACTGTAATTGATATCTTACAGCTCTTTTTGCAGCTCAGCTATGTACTCATTTCCACCACTATCCCATGACCCCCACAATTATCTTGCATGAAATTCAAGAAGAGAGTTACCAGTTAGTTATTACAATCAATTTTTATGGTGTTCATAATGTTTACAGGAGTTTGCCTGTTCTCCCTGTGTCTGCGTGGGTTTCCTCCGGGTACTCCGGTTTCCTCCCACAGTCCAAAAACATGCAGTCAGGCTGATTGGACATGCTAAAATTGCCCCTAGGTGTGAGTGAGTGTGTGAGTGTGTATGTCTGTCTGTCTGCCCTGCGATGGACTGGCGACCTGTCCAGGGTGTATCCTGCCTTCCGCCCAATGACAGCTGGGATAGGCTCCAGCACCCCACCGCGACCCAGAAGGATAAGCGGTTTAGATGATGGATGGATGGATAATGTTTACAGTAATTACACATTGCACTATTTTTAGATGCAGTATGAAGCATGCATGCATTACTGTACTGTATAATGACATAAACGAGTAAAAATATAGTCCATATATTCACTCGAATAACCCACTTTGTTTTATGTTGTTGTACCAGGTAAGCTATACTGTGCTATTAGACAGCTAATTAGCGTCAAATAGCATTGAATAGCTATTAGCTAGGCTAACTATGTTAACTAACTTTACCACTAGTTCAGTATAAACGTGTTGTGTTGACTCTGATTAACAGATATTAATGCAGCTCAGCTGTTCTTTAAGATTAAAATGATGGTGAAGCAGCGTTTAACTCCCAGAAGGCCTTAGCTGAGCTCCAGACTGAGTGATTTTTACATCCAGGTTAAAAACATGTCTCTTTTTTATGCTATAATTGAGCTAAAACACTTGCACTTTATTCTTACTGCACTTTTAGCTTAACCTTAAGCTAATATTAATTAAGAGCTTTGTCTTTAATTTACCTTTTAATTTTTTGTATTTTGATTTGATCTACTTTTACTTTTAATTATTAGTTTTATTTCTTTAAACTGTTGCCGTTTCTTTATACTATTGCATTTATTTTACTGTTTTTTTTAATGGTTTTCACTCTTAAGCCCTTTGCCTTTATTTTCTTTTGATGTTCTTTCTGCTTTTATGTACGTAAAGCTCATTGAATTGCCCCTGTGTATGAAATGTTCTGTATAAATAAACTAGCCTTCAGAAAAGCACAAAGTCCTTGATACAGTATTATCTGCCTGTACTGTAAATGTTTTCCCAGAATGCACCACAGGATGGTATATAAAGCTGTAAAACATAGTTAAAGTATCATACTGGCTTGAATGCAGTATATTATTGTAGAAATACGTTATTTAGAGTGTTTTAGGCTCTGTGGTTATACAAGATTACATCATTTTGAACTGTTCTGACTGTAAAATTAAAAGTGGGGAATGGTGCCCTCTTCAACCTCACTTTTCATCAGCCACAAAATACTCAATTTACAGTTAAAACACCATTTACATCAATAAAATTTACATTAATAAAATACAACCTTCTGTTTAAGCAATTGCAGAACCTTTTTTGGTGCTATATAGAACCCTTTTCAAAAAGGTTCTATATAGAACCATATATCTGAAGAACCATTTCACCATGCAGAGAACCATTTAAGCACAAACTGGTTCTATATAGTTATTATAATACTTTAATCACTGTGTTTTGTAAGGGGCTCCATAACATGTGCTCTTTAAAATGTGATAATAATTACTAACATCTTTCTCTGGTTCTGCTGACTGTAGTTAGGAAAATCCAGTGTTCTTGTGGGCTAAATATAAGTATTGTTTTAAAAAATAATGGGGACAAAATGGGGACATTGTAGAAACGCATGGGAATGGAATGGGAATGTGTTAAAAAGCAGTGGAGACAAGATTGAGTGTTTTAAAAAGTGTCAGGGACAAAATAGAGCATATTAAAAGTGGTGGGGACAAAATTGAGTGTTTTAAAATGTGGCAGAGACAAAATGGAAACTTCTAAAAAGTGTCAGGCACAAAATAGAGCATTTTAATAGTGGTGGGAACAAAATAGAGATGTTATACAAAGTGGACAAAATGAAGCATTTAAAAAGTGGCAGGGACAAAATGGAGACGATTTTAAAAAGTGGTGGGGACCAAAAAGGTATAAAAAGTGGTGGGGACAAAAAGGGGACATTTTAAAAATGGTCAGGGACAAAATACAGCATTTTAAAAGTGGTGGGGACAAAATAGGGATATTTTACAAAGTGGGGACAAAATTATGTGTTTTAAAAAGTAATGGGGACAAAATGGAGACATTTTTAAAAAGTGGTGGGAACAAAATTGAGTGTTTTAAAAAGTGGTGGGGCAAAATGGGGACATTTTGAAAAGTGGGTGAAATAGGAAGGTTTTTATAAAGTGAGGAGACAAATTGAGAGTTTAAAAACATGGTGGGGACAAAATGGGGATATTTTACAAAGTGGGGACAAAATGGACCTTTCTTAAAAAAGTAAGGGGAGAAATTTGAATGTTGGACAAAATGAGGACGTATTAAAAAGTGATGGGGACAAAATGAGGATAAATGACAGCCACACTGACACTGACGAACAGCACTAATACAGTCAGCGGAGCTGCAGACCTGCAGTGTGTGAATGAGGACGGTCCCTGAACAGTAATGAGGGTTAGAATGTAACAGTGCTGGAGCTGTGGCGCCTGTTGTCCTGTGGATGATGATGAGACAAGGCTGCCCCCTGTTGGCTCGGCTGTGAACTGACCCTGAGGTAAAGCCCTCTCTGCTTCCTCTCCACGCTGAGGGGAGCCCTGCGCTGTGTCTGGTGATGATGGAACGTGACGACTGATTTCACTGAAGTTTTGACCGAGGAATTTTAACATTAAGCCTGAAATTGCTGCAGCTGTCGTCCGTGACCTCAGTGAGACAGCAGGGAGGGATACAGTTACGCTTTATTAACTTATTTATAAAGGCAAATTCCACTGACTCCACGATCATCCGCAGGAAAGATTCACCCAAATATACCGTCAGATACTCTCACTGTGTTTAACAGTGCAGCTAACGAAATTACGTTTTAATAACTAATCAGATTTAATAACTAATCAGATTCCACAAGCCCTGTACAGTGACTGTAATGCCATAGAAGCCACTGAATCATGTATGTTAACATTGCAGTATATTATAATAGTACACCCTGAGAAAGATGGTTCTTCAAGGTTCTTTAGTAAAGACAGTGGTTGTATAAAGAATGAACACTAAAAGAACCATTGCATGCTTAAATGGTTCTCTGCATAGTGAAATGGTTCTTCAGATTGATAGATAATGTGTTGTATATGGTTTTATATAGAACCAAAAAGGATTCTTCCATTGTTACAATGTGAAGCTTGTAACCCTGCTAGCCTTTAAAGAAGGTAGAACCACATATAGCACATTCTCCATCAATCTAAAGAAACATTTCACCATGCAGAGAACCATGTAATCATGCAAATGGTTCTTTGAGTGTTCATGGGTCTATATAGAAGCGCTGTCTTTACTAAAGACCCCTTGAAGAACCATCTTTTTTAAAAGTGGACATTTAAGATTAATAACTGAATAATATGCACACAGTTTAAGGAGTTAATCTACATTCTTAAAAAGATGGTTCTCCAAGGGTTCTGTAGTAAAGAAAACGGTCCACCATTTAAGGTGGACTAGAAAATTTAAGGGATCCAGAAGGTACCTGCTGCACCATTTAAGGTATACTGGAAAATTCAAGGGATCCAGAGTATAACAACTGTGCCATTTAAGTGGAACTGAAAATTTAAGAGATCCAGAATGTAACAGCTGCGCCATTTAAGGTGGACTGGAAAATTTAAGGGATCTAGAATGTAACAGCTGCACCATTTAAGGTGGACTAGAACATTTAATGGATCTTGAATGTAACAGCTGTGCCATTTAAGGTGGACTAGAAATTTCAAGGGATCCAGAATGTAACAGCTGCGCCATTTAAGGTAGACTGGAAAATTTAAGGGATCCTGAATGTAACAGCTGCGCCATTTAAGGTGGACTAGAAAATTCAAGAGACTGAAGTTTATCAGGCTCTATTCTACTCTTGCTGAAATTAAAATCATTTAGCAAAAAGCAAAATGTGTTAGGCTGACCCCACCCCCGCTTGCTCACATGCACAGGCATGTGTGTGTGGGTGTGTGTGTGGGGGGGGTGTGAGGGGAAACGCTGCATTTCTGCCGGAAACGAACTCTTGAGTTACACATCACTTTAACCACATTTTATAAATACTACACAAACAGGCATCTGGTTTCCATGGCAGGCAGCGTAAACAAACGGAGGATGTGATGCGTTAGCAGGATCTGCTGCATCATAAACAGCATTAATGTTGAGCTCGTTATTAATAGAAAACGCTACTGAGATTCTTCAGCTGCATCTGAACTGCAGCATGAAGGTTACTTTACATATAAATAGTCAAATATATTAAAATAATACAAAAATATTACAGATTTACTGTCTATGTTAATGTTTTAGTGCAGTGAAGCAGAACTGCATTCCATCCAATGACAAATTGTACATTAATAAATGTTTACATTGTTATTATTATCATTAGTCCACTCTAAAAAAGATGGTTCTTCAAGGGTTCTTTAGTAAAAACAATGGTTCTACAAAGAACCACGAACAGTCAAAGAAACATTTGTATGATTAAAGGGTTCTCTGCATGGTGAGATGGTTCTTACACTTGATGGAGAATGTGTTGTATATGGTTCTATATAGGACCTTTCTGAACCAAAAAATGGTTCTGCTGCTGTTACGATGTCAGCTTGTCACAAAAGCAGAACCCTTTTTGGTGCTATATAGAAACATATACAGCACAATTTCCATCAACCCGAAGACATTTCACCATGAAGAGAACCATTTTGGGTGTTCATGGTTCTATATAGAACCACTGTCTTTATTAAAGAGCCCTTTAATGTTGACCATCGTTTTAAGAGTGTAGTATTATTAATACTAATAGTAATATATATATATATATATTAACACTGTCCAGCAGTCACAGCACAAAACGTACTCAATTTCCAGTAAAAACAGCAGAAAAAAGCAAAAAACTTTTACTACACAGACACAAATATATAATTATTAATATACTAAACTAACTCTACTCTCAGCTCTGATGGTCAGTGAGTCACTCTTCACCTTTATTCCAGCTTCCATTCTCTTCAGGAGACTCACTTTCAGCTCCTCAAAGAATCTGCAGACACACCTCCAAAGTTCAGTCTTAGAAGCTGGTTGATCATTTTCTGAAGTAATCAAACACATTCAGTGGTGTTGAGGTCTGGACTCTGGGGTGGTCAGTCCATCGTTCAGCTTCTTTGTTTAATGTGTCCGTCTCCTTTTCTCAGTGAGGTTCTTCTTGATCAGCTACACATCCTTTCAGACCCACAGCGCTGAGTCGTCTTCTCACAGTGGAAGGATGGACAGAAACACCTGTGGATGTTTTCAGATCTGAAGCAGCTTGATTTTCTCCTCTCTCTCAGAGATGAAAGCTTTAAGTGCTGTTTATCTGATGGGGGCAGTTTTGGGGTCGACCAGCTCTTCCAGGTGGTTGTTAGGAGTCTCATGTTGGAAACTCCCGTTTTTTCATCTTATATATATAATCCACTCTGAAAATGTCACTGTAGTACCTTTTATTATTTAAAGGTATTACATTTTTTCTCAGTTGCTTGAAAACATATTTCCACTCAGAAGCCATATTCAGGACACTAAAGCAAACGTTTCTGTTAGACACGGACAATCAGGAGAGCAAATTCTTTATAGAGTATCAGCACTGAAAGGTTCCTTAGCAAAGGGAATGGTTTTATTTAGAGCCATGAGTTCTATATAGAACCGTTTCATGCAAAGAAATGGTTCCTTGCATCATGAAAGCTGTATAGCACCAAAAAGGGTTACAGGCTTGGCATCATAAGAGTAGCAGGACCCTTTTTGGTACTATATCGAACAATTTTTCAAAGATTCTATACAGAACCATATACAACACTCTCCATCAATCTGGAGAACCATTTCAGCATGCAGAGAACCATTTAAGCAAAACATTTTTCTATATAGAACCCATAGCTTAATATAGAACCATCTTTTTTACAGAGTAATGTAAAATGTAAGATTGAATTTACACGATGAAACTTTCATGCAACTTTAGTTGCTTGAAACCTACATGAAACTAAGCTGCACTTGAATCGCATAATGTTAAGCACCCTGTAACTTGTTTGAAACTCTTGTTTCAACTTTGTGGAGTTTTATGAAATTAATCAAAATGCAGACAATACATCATGTGATCATGCTGAAGGGAATAAAAACGGGCTTTGACAGCTGGGAAAATGCTGCAAATCTGTAAATTACACCTCACGGGTGACTTTATGTCTCGAGAACAACACTGTGTATAATGTGAGCTGCTAACTCTGCCGAACTGGTGGAGTAATCCAATTTGCTGTGCACAGCTGAGCTGCTCTGTGCTTCTGTCAAGCTGCACAGAAATTGTTGCAAAGTTGCAAATAGTTGCATGAAAGTTTCACTGTGAAAGGCCAGGCTAAAAATACCACACAGGAGAATCTAGTCTTTTCTCCTGTGTATATATTTTTTTTTTACCAGAGATACGTTTCAGCTCAACATGCTGCAAAACCCCAAACCAAGCAAACAAAAAAGATATCAGCCAAAATATTTAGAAAGCATTTTTACGCTTTTTTCTTTATTTACATACAGTTAAAAGACTGAGTCAGAGTGGCCCAGCAGATGGGCTGGGCATAGATACCACTCTGAACTGAACTGTCATGTGTACTTTGGACAAAACAATCAGGGCACATATGCATGTTTTTTATGCATTTTTACTTTATATGCATTTTTCTTTGGACAGTGACAAAATGTGTTAACATATACTCACTAACGTAAACACAGACAAAACAAGCATTCGTGGTGTAACTGTGTACAACAAAGGAAATGTGTAGTGACAGCTTATAAAAAAGCCCCTCGTAGTCAGATCTGCCTTCAGCCTGTGTGTGGACTCAACACTTTACTCAGAAATTGTTCACCTCTATCTTCTGTCATGGATAAGCTATCAGTGACAAAATGGTCTGTAACTGTTTTGACTCTGCTTCGTCATCATTGAGCACAATGTTTACCACTCTCGCCTTTCGTTCCAGAGAAAGCAAATAAAGAAAGGAACGGGAAAATATCTGTTTCTGCTTGTTTTGGGCGAAATCTGGTCTATACAGTACATTGCATTGAAATGTGTCTCTGGGAAAAACTAAACCAGGAGCAACCACCTAGCAACACCTTAGCAACCACATGGAATACCATAACAACAGCTTGGAAACACCTTAGCAATCATGTGGGATAACATAGGAACAGCTTAGCAACACCTTAGCAACCACCTGGAATACCATACCAATGGCCTAGCAACACCATAGCAACTGTGTAGGATAACACAGGAATAGCCTAGCAACGCCATAACAACCACCTAGGATACCATATCAACACCTTAGCAACCACATAGGATTAAAAAAGGAACAGTCTAGCAACATCTTAGTAACCACCTGCGATAGCATAGCAGTGGCCTAGCAACACCTTAGCAACCACATAGAATAAGAAAGGAATGGTCTAGGAACACCTTAGCAACCACCTAGATTATCATAGCAACAGCTTAGCAACAGTTTAGTAACCACCTGTGATAGCATAATAATGGCTTAGCAACACCAATATCAGAGCAATGGCTTAGCAACACCTTAGCAACCACCCACAAGCTACTTAAGTACTGAGTAACGCATAGAACTGCAGTGGAACGTCTTAGTCCATGCAGCATCATCAGCACGGGAACTACGAGGATGAAACTGGCTGTATGTTTGAATTTTTCGTTCCACCTTAAATGATGCAGCTGTTACATTCTGGAGCCTGAGGCACCTGAAAGAAACCGCAGCCCTATTTAAGGTGGACCAGAGAATTTGAATACGAAACTGGCAGATAAGAAGCCGCATAGAAACCGAAGTTTGTACTTTATTCTTCTCTGTTTGGTCTAAAAGAAAAATGCCTGAAGCTCCAGTGGGAGGAGTGACCAGCAGGACAGCACAGCAGAGTGAAGAGTGACCCAGAGAGAGAATCGGGAGCTCAGTGTTACTGACTGAAGTGGATCTGTGGGGAAAGTAGATCACTCTCTCTAATACACTCCAGCGGACGTGTTATAAGGGTCTCCCTTAACTCCTTAAATGGCTGTAGGATGTAACAAGGCCAGGATTTGAAGGGGTTAATCCTGAATTCCACACAGCGAACAGATTCACGTAAAACAGGAGTTAAAAATAAACTTATTTTCCCTCCATTTACTTTTTCTGGCTGTAAGAATTTCCACCTAAAATCTGCTTTAGGTGGAAAATTGGCAAAGGGACATAGAGAGAGTGTGATGGAGAGAGAGAGGGAGGGAGAGAGAGAGAGACAAAAAAAAAAAAGAGAGAGACAGAGAGAAATAGAGAAAGAAGGAGAGAGAGAGAAAACAGAGACAGAGAGAGATAAATAGAGAGAGGGAGAAAGAGAAATAGAGAGAGAGAGAGAGAGAAAACAGAAAGAAAGAGAGAGAGAAATAGAGAGAGAGGGAGATCGAGAAAAAGAGAGGGAGAAGGAGGGAAAGAGAGAGAGAAAAAACAGAGCGACAGAGAGAGAGAAATAGAGAGAGCGAAAAAAAACGAGAAAGAAAAAGGGCGGGAGAGAGAAAAACAGAAACGAGAGAGAGATAAAGATAGAGAGACAGTAAAAGAGAGAAAGAATGAGAGAGATAGACAGAGAGAGAGAGACATACAGAGAAAGAGAGAGACAGACAGAGAGAGAGGTTGGGGGGGGTGGGACTGACCAATACAGAGGGAGAGAGAGAGAGAGAGAGAGAGAGAGAGAGAGAGAGAGAGAGAGAGAGAGACAGAGGGAGTGACTAACAGAGACAGAGAATAAATCAACGAGCAAGTAAGTGAGTGAGTGAGAGAGTGAGCGAGTGAGCGAGTGAGTGAGGGGTTTTTCCTGCAGCTCCCACTCTGTCTGGACAAAGCCCCGAGAGAGGAGAGCAGAACTGACCAGCAGGTAAGAACAAACTCCAGAAAATCCCTCCTGCTTTCTATCTGCTTTGCTTTTCTGTGAAGTGGAGCTGCTGTTGGAGTCATCAGTGGGCTCGTGCTCAGTGAAGCCCACTTTACATCAGAAACCGTGCGTTAATTAATTCATTAGTAATTAAGTTTGTGTTTTCTATGTCGCTGCTGTCGGAACAAAACCTCGTATCTCCAAAATGACAACTTCACAGGAGAAGTAAAAAACCTGCTTTGCTTTTAATGTAAGTCAATGGAACCAGATGTCTTTCCAAGTCATTTTAGGTGGTTTCTTTTGGTCCATTCATCATGAAATTTACACACAATGTAAAGAACAACAGGCATTTTTAAAGTATGTCAAAAACTAAAAAATGGAGATACGAGGTTTTGCTCTGACAGCAGTGAATTATTTGTGTTATCTCTTTCTCAAGTCTAATTTTCCATTCCGCCTTAAATCCCTTGAATTTTCTAGTCCACCTTAAATGATGTAGTTGTTATATTCTGGATCCAGGCGCCAGGATGTAACAGCTGCACCATTTAAGGTAGAGTGGAAAATTCTTAAATGAAGTCATAAGAACTGAACATTGTTAGACTCTGTTTTTTGGATCCTTTTGGTCTAAAACTAAATGCTGAAGCTCCAAAACAGCATCGTTCTCACATGTTAGCGCTCAATATCTAAATATCTTAAATAAGATTTTATTGAAAGTGACACAAAATGTGTTTTTCTTCACTGTAAAAAAATTCTGTTTGTGTGTTTCAGCCCCCCTCAGTTCCATTCCCAATACTGTAAATGAGTTCAAATAGACTATTTATATTTCATATATATCCCAGTGTGTTTGAGTTGGGCTGGAAGTGTCAGTCCCCGTCGTGCTCGCTGGGTGCGGCGTGTTGGGGGACACACCCACCACAGGACACACACACACACAGATGTGTCTGATCATTTCCACAGTTTTGCAACTGACTCTCACTTCTGCGGTTTCCATGTTGTTTGTTGCCTGAAAATATAAACTAAAGGTCCTGTAAGACTTTATGTAGTAGTTCATAGTAAACACTGAATTATAATAAAAGGGAGGAGAACCTTTGAAGGAGAAAGAGAGATGATGTGCACAGCTGTCACACCCTCAGAGAGAGGAATGAGATTAGCTAGTTCAATCTATGAACACTGTGAGGAACAAAGGTACATTTTTCATTCTTCGAGGTACAAACAGTGTAAATGTTCCCTCAAAGCTCCAACAGTGGTTTAAAGGTCTGATTGTGAACCTTAAATAAGTTTTTCCAGGTGAAAAGTTCATATTTGTACCTTTTCATAACCGAATGTTTTAAACAGAACAGTAAAATAAAAGCCTGGAGACGAGACGGGGTGTGTGGAGTCAGTACAGCTTAGAACATATCATTTCAGTGGATTATGGTTCAGTTATGTTCCCTGACTAAAGGAACTGAGATGGACCCTTGAGGGTTCCACCCCAGTGACGAGAGGGGAACCACCCCAGAGACAGTTTAGAACCTTTATTTCTGAGAGTGTAAATATAAAAGGTTATTGTTACTAATAACTGATAACTAGAAACTCTTACTACTAAATCACTACTTAAATCACAGTTAACTGTGTGCAGGCCTTCACATGAATTCCTCTTACATACATAATTCACACATGAGTTTGATAGTAGGTACTGAATAATTTTTCATACATACTGAATAATTCATAGACGTTTCTTAGTTATTCATAGTGGATACTGAATGACAAAGTAAATACTGAATAATTTATTGCAGTTACAGTAGTCAATACTGAATAATTGAAAGTCAATACATAATGACTCATAATGTAAAATGAATAACCCACAGTTGTGACGAATAGTATTTAGTGACTAATTCTCAGTAGCTACTGAATAATTCATAGCAGATACTGAATCAGTCATAGTAGTTGATGAATATTTTATAGTGGTTAATGAATAACGAACAGTATTTAGTGAACAATTAGACTATTTACAACAATCACACTATTTACACTAAGTTAATAAATCTATAGTAGTAATGAATAATTCATAGTAGATACTGAATAATTTATAGTACATACTGAATAATTCAAAGTAGATATCAAATAATTATTAGTAGATCCTAAATAATTTATAGACGTTTCTTAGTTATTCATAGTGGGTACTGAACAACTTATAGTCAATACTGAATAATTAAAAGTCAATAGATAATGACTCATAATGTAAAATGAATAACCCATAGTAATTACTACATAATTCACAGTGGTTAATGAATACCAAATAGTATTTAGTGACTAATTCTCAGTAGCTACTGAATAATTCATAGCAGATACTGAATCAGTCATAGTAGTTGATGAATATTTCATAGTGGTTAATGAATAACGAACAGTATTTAGTGAACAATTAGACTATTTACAACAATCACACTATTTACACTAAGTTAATAAATCTATAGTAGTAATGAATAATTCATAGTGGGTGGTGAATAATTGACAGTAGCTGCTTAATGAAGTATTTATAATTGAATGATTGAATAAATGAATAACAGCTGCAGGTTGAGAGTTTCAGTCTGGACACGACTCCCACCGCTCAGCTGCAGAACTGAAGTGATTACGAGGGGTGTGGAGTGTGTAGCTCTGTTTAGACAGTAGTGCATGTGTGTGTGTGTGTGTGCAAGTGTGTGTGTGTGTGTGCGTTACAGCGGGTGACTCACTGTACGGGTCTCTAATGATGATTATGTAACTGCATGGTTGAGCTCAGTGGCTGCTCTGTTCTTTGGGAGGCTCCACAGGATTAAAGGTGAAATCGAGTTAGTGCTGGAGAGCCATGGTCAGCGCTGTTTATGCTCATTGGGGTCTTCAGTCCCACTGTGTTCGGACAGCCTCCTGTAGATCATCTACAGATGTTCACAATATCTAGTGAAAATCATTTGATTCTAAACACAATTAGGATTTGGACCAGTTTAGGTTTAGGGTTTGGGTTGAAGTTACAGGGTTAGAAGCAGAACTACATCGTTTTGACCAAAACATTGGTCCTAATTACCTCCTCATTAGTTCTGAGACCTCCCCCTGACTGTGATTGGCCCTAATCGCCACCTTATTACTTCTCAGACCTCCCCCTGACTGTGATTGGCCCTAATCGCCACCTTATTACTTCTCAGACCTCCCCCTGACTGTGATTGGCCCTAATCACCGCCTCATTCATTCTGAGGCCTCCCCCTGACTGTGATTGGCCATAATCCCTGCCTCATTAGTTCTGAGACCTCCCCCTGACTGTGATTGGCCCTAATCGCCACCTCATTAGTTCTGAGGCCTCCCCCTGACTGTGATTGGCCCTAATCACCGCCTCATTCATTCTGAGACCTCCCCCTGACTGTGATTGGCCCTAATCACCGCCTCATTCATTCTGAGACCACCACCTGACTGTGATTGGCCCTAATCACCACCTAATTAGTTCTGAGACCTCCCCCTGACTGTGATTGGCACTAATCGCCACCTAATTAGTTTTGAGACCTCCCCCTGACTGTGATTGGCCCTAATAGCCTCCTCATTCCTTCTGAGATCAGCACTGAATATTGAATAAATGACAGTACAAAACACCTGACAAACACAAATAGAGCAAATAGTATACGATTAACTTTTTACAAAGTGCAAAAAAAATCACTATTCAAATAAACAAAGACCCTTTTATATGTATTATATTACCGCATACTCATTGGGCCCCTGCTGACTTGGGAGCCTTAAACAACAGCTCACACCACATAGCAAGAAGTGTCTCTGATCGTCTGGTCCAGCTGTCTGCCTCTGTTTTGTTTTCTCCAATGAAAACCGGCGTAAGAGGCCCTTCTGTGGGCAGTAATAGGCTAAGATCCGCTTAAAGGTCAAAGTCAAAAGGCAGTTTTACTGTAGCAGAGGGAGCTCCTATTGCTTTCCGGATGGATTGCTTGAGTACAGATAAATTCGTTCAGTGCAGAGTGGATTCGATTTGCCCGGTTTCCTGTCATCAATCAGCAACTAACGTGCGGCGGTAAAGGCAAAGAGTTCAGGCGACAGTTCAGAGAAAAATCTAATTTACCAAATTTCCCCCGTACCCCAAATGTGGTGGATCAGTCAAGACCACAGAAGTACGCATTAGACGCCTAGATAGCTGATGATGTCACTGTATATGCAGCCACTAGGCTAGGCTCCCTCTCTGTGCTGCATTAATGATCGCCTATGGATGTAATGTCAACATATTCCTGGACCTGAATCCATACCAAACATGCTCTATGTAAAACATTCAGCTCAGCAGGCTAACAGGCTCCTCCAATAATATTCAGGGTTTGGCTATGAGACCTCCCCCTGACTGTGATTGGCCCTACTCACTACACTGTTTGTTCTGAGACCTCCCTCTGACTGTAATTGGTCCTAATCACCACCTTGCTTGTTTTGACAAATTTGACAAAAATGACTTGGAAACATTTTTTTGCATTAACTTCCATTAAAAATTAAGAATAATTTTTCCTTCCCGTTCCCTGCTAGAAAAAACAGCATGGTCCAACATGGCTCATCCCCACCAAGACCAGCATATGTTGTGTCTTGATACTGGTATGCTGATCAACTAGCAAGACCATGCTGGGGTAACCAACTAAACCAGCACTAGACCAGTATAGGCCAGCTTAAACCAGCACTAGACCAGCATAGACCAGCTTAGACCAGCATGGCTCATCACCACCTAGACCGGTAAATGTTGTGTTTTGATGCTGGTATGCTGGTCAACTAGCAAGATCATGGTGGGGTGACCAGCTAAAAAAGCACTAGACCAGCATAGACCAGCTTAAACCAGCAGTGCTTGCTGGTCTGTGCTGGTTTGTTCAGCAGGGTATAGTTGCCATTTTGGAGATAGCTGGAGGTTTTGTTCTAACAGTTATGAAATGTTACATGCATATTTTACACATTTTAAATGTCTGTATTAAAGCTAGAGCTGCTAAAAGTAGAATTAAACCCAGTTAGTGAAATGTACATCACCATTAGCTTGGCACTTATATAAGGAAAGTCCTCGATATGTTAGCTGTTGTGGTAACTTTTCAATAGAAAAAATGCCTCCATTGTTTTCCTCACTGGAAAACAAAACTTCATCTGAAAGCAATAATACGTTCCATTCCATCATGTAACTTAAACAAAAGATCATAAATCAATAAGAATCTATTTCTGGGAAGAATCAGAGTCCTTAGAGGCCACCTTTGTAACGCTCCTGGGCAGTTATTTCCTGCCATACAAGGCCAGACTCCTCTGTCTTTGTAAGAGGCAAGACCAAAATACTCCAAACTGAAGGCCAAATAGCCATTTTAAAAACATACTTGAAATCAGTGGTCAGTCTTACCAAAACCTCGTAAATAGTTCGTAGCATTTGGTTCAACGACACACAATGACGTTTCTACGTCACAGCTTAAACAGCAAGCTGATTGGCTGTTTGTCTTGAAGGGTGGGACTTTCTCAGATGCCATGTTGAGCATTACAAGCTTTCCTGTTCGCATTTCAGCTGGTGACCGTCTCCTTCGTTTCAACATTTCTAGGAGTACTAGAGCAGTGGCTTCAGTAGAGCGCCCTCTAGAGGATATTTAAAGCCTTATCATGGATAAATATGGAGTCCAATGTAGCTAATGAGGTTAGCACACCAGTCAGCATCGTGATGTGCTCATATCTGTGGAAATGCAAAGGTTTGGACAAAAATCAGTTGTTTTAGCCGCTGCTACGGACTTTAGCTTTACTAATGTTCTTTAGTCCACAGTTATAGGTAACAGTGAGTCATACAGTGTCAGAAACCACAGAATCAAGACTATTAGAGACACTGAACACCTCCTCCTGGTGTGTTTAAGGGGTATCAGCTTCCATTACTTGTTAGCTCCATTAGCCTCGTAGCTCCTGCACTAAAACTAAAGAAGCAAACTTTCAGACACCAAACATGAGTCAGGTGATCGACTACATCTGTAAAGGGCAAATCACTGACTGATTCGGCTGAGGTCTCTCTTTAAGGCCCCTCTGAGGGAGTGAGGACGTGTGAGAGAGCGGCTCACGGGCAGAACTGTGGAGGAGGAGTAGGAGGGTTGGAGGGAGTGGAGTAGAGGATGATGGAAAACATTAGGCATCTTTCTTTCTCTCTCTCTCTCTCTCTCTCTCGCTTTGCTGTTTGGAGGGATCCTAAACATCTGGTACACATCAGCATGGAGCTGGAAACTCTGACACACCGCCCAGAGAGAGAGAGAGAAATAGGGATGGAGGGATGGAGGGAGGGGAAGAGGGAAAAGTGAGGGAGGAGTGAGTCATGCCTGTGCTATTCCAGCCTGTGTTTAAAACTTGACTCTCTCTGAGGAGAAAGGACACCCAATTCTCTATCTCTCTCTCTCTCTCTCTCTCTCTCTCTCTCTCTCTCTATCTGGCTCATCTTTCACTGGCCTGGGGGTTTTCTCTCTCGCTGATTCAGATTCAAACAGACTGCGCTAGTTGTAATTAGCAACCGTTGCCAAAGCAATGAAAAAAAAGTTACTATGAGAAAAGTAACTGTTATACATTATTGACTATGAATGTCATTAACTACTTACATTATTCAGTATCTACAAGAAATTATTCAGTGACTACTATGAATTTTTCCAGAACTATTATATATTATTCAGTATATTGTATAAATTATTCAGTATCTACTATGAATTATTGAGTATCTACTATGAATTATTCAGTAGCTACTATGAATTATTCAGTATCTACTATGAATTATTCAATATCTACTATGAATTATTGAGTAACTACTATGAATTATTGAGTAACTACTATGAATTATTCAGTATCTACTATGGATTATTCAGTATCTACTATGGATTATTCAGTATCTACCATGAATTATTCAGTATCTACTATGGATTATTCAGTATCTACTATGAATTATTCAGTATCTAACATGAATTACTCAGTATCTACTATGGATTATTCAGTATCTACTATGGATTATTCAGTATCTACTATGGATTATTCAGTATCTACCATGAATTATTCAGTATCTACTATGGATTATTCAGTATCTACTATGAATTATTGAGTAACTACTATGCATTATTCAGTATCTACCATGAATTATTCAGTAACTACTATGGATTATTCAGTATCTACTATGGATTATTCAGTATCTACCATGAATTATTCAGTAACTACTATGGATTATTCAGTATCTACTATGCATTATTCAGTATCTACCATGAATTATTCAGTAACTACTATGGATTATTCAGTACCTACTATGGATTATTCAGTATCTACCATGAATTATTCAGTAACTACTATGGATTATTCAGTATCTACTATGCATTATTCAGTATCTACCATGAATTATTCAGTAACTACTATGGATTATTCAGTATCTACTATGGATTATTCAGTATCTACCATGAATTATTCAGTAACTACTATGGATTATTCAGTATCTACTATGCATTATTCAGTATCTACCATGAATTATTCAGTAACTACTATGGATTATTCAGTATCTACTATGGATTATTCAGTATCTACTATGGATTATTCAGTATCTACTATGCATTATTCAGTATCTACCATGAATTATTCAGTAACTACTATGGATTATTCAGTATCTACTATGGATTATTCAATATCTACTATGGATTATTCAGTACCTGCTATCAAACTGATTTGTCAGTTCTGTGTGTAAGAGGAATTCGTGTGTGGGTCTGCCTACAGTTAACTGTGATTTAATAACAGTGATACGAGTTCCTGGTTATTAGTTATTAGGAACAGTGGGGTGTTATATTTACACAGATAAATCCACAGATTAGCTCATTTCATTCCTCTCTCTGAGAGCATGACAGCTGTTTACATTATGTCTCTCTCTCCTTTTAAGGTTACTCTTCCCTCACTCCACTTTTCTCCCTCACTCCACTTACTCTCCATGCCCCCCCCACCCCCCTGCCCCATCAGCCTGGTGTGAAAGATAGATGTGTTAGTGAAAGGCGTGTCCGCTCTGTTTATACCAGCCTCCAGCGCGTGTTTGTGTGTGCGAGGGATTCCGTCGTGTTGGAGTGAAGTGTAGGAGAGTTAACGGGGGGGTCTGAATGCTGCCATTGTTCTGCTATCTGGCTCCTCCCACACGCGCTGATGACAGATGGATTGTGGGGTTGAGTAAAGGTCTCGGTTGTGCCGTGCCGGTCTAAATAGCCGGAATACATTACTCACAGGCTCTTACAGGGCCGCTGGCCGACAGGCAGGGATTTTTCAACTGCTGCTCTGAGACCTTTTTGTCTGAGTGCTGATGACATTAAACAGGAGGAGAAGAATTTGTTAACATTTCACTCGTTTCTGCATAAGCAGCACAGTCGCATGAATATGAATATATAGCTGTGTATGAATATTATAGCCAGTGTAGCTATAATGCAACTTTTGTTTTTGTTTATCAAAATAATTTTCAAACAAACGTCCACTTTTATTAGAACCTACCTTGCACTGGCCACTTTATTAGAAACACCTATGTTGTGCTTCCACTAACTGGCCACTTTATTAGAAACACTTACTTTGTTCTTCCACTAACTGGCCACTTTATCAGAAACACCTACCTTGTGTTTCCACTAACTGGCCACTTTATTAGAAACACCTACCTTGTGCTTCCGCTCACTGGCCACTTTATTAGAAACACCAACCTTCTACTTTCACTCACTGGCCACTTTATTAGAAACACCTACCTTGTATCTCCACAAACTGGCCACTTTATTAGAAACACTTACTTTGTTCTTCCACTAACTGGCCACTTTATCAGAAACACCTACCTTGTGCTTCCACTAACTGGCCACTTTATTAGAAACACCCACCTTGTACTTACACTAACTGGCCACTTTATTAGAAACACCTACCTTCTACTTTCACTCACTGGCCACTTTATTGGAAACACTGACCTTTGACCACTACTGGGTTTACAGTGGTCCACCACCCAAAAATATCCAGCCAAGAGCGGCTCTGTAGTCAGAAACTCACTAGAGGATTATAGGATGGCTTACACAAACTGTGGTGCATCTCCAGGTGAGCTACAGTGTCTAACTGTATACCAGCAAGGTGGAGCCACAAGAGAGGGGTTTCTGATAAGATCTGATAAGGAGAGAATTCACATCAAAACAATGAAAAAAAGGGAAATAATATATTGTATGTATATATATCTTGTGTTTCTAGGCATCCCAAAGACACAGAAGACTTTAAAGACGTTCCCCAGTCTTCCTCTACCCTCTGTGGTTAGCGTGTGCATCCCATCATGGCGATAGTTTTTCACTCCTCTCCGCTGCTGTGGACTCGCGTGGCGGCCATGATTTTCTCCTGCGTGGCGTTCAGCGTGGCCCTGTACGGCGCCCAGCTCACCCATGGCACGGGCGACTGGTGCATCTTCTGCTGGAGCTTCAGCTTCGCGGGGACGCTCCTGGTGGTTCTGGTGGAGCTCTGCGGCCTGCAGGCCCGTGTCCCCGTCTCCTGGAAGAACTTCCCCATCACGTTTGCCTGCTACGCCTCGCTCCTGTGCCTCTCAGCCTCCATCATCTTCCCCCTTTACTTCCTGAAGGGCTACAGCGGCCGTGACGAGATGATCAACTGCCGCATTGTCTCCACCGTCTTCTCCTGCCTGGCCACCGTGGCATACCTGAGCGAGGTCAGCCTGAGCAAGGCTCGGCCAGGAGAGGTGTCCGGATACATGGCGACTGCGCCCGGCTTGCTCAAGGTGTGCGAGACCTTCGTCGCCTGCGTCATCTTCGTCTTCATCAGCGAACCGATTTCCTACGACCAGAACGCCGCCACCAAGTGGTGCCTGGCCGTCTACTGCATCTGCTTCATCCTGTCGGCGGGGATAATCGTGCTCTGTGTAGCCGAGTGGACGGGATGCCTTCCGTTCCCCTTCGCCCGCTTCCTGTCCACCTACGCCCTGCTGGCCGTGGCCATGTACCTGTCGGCCACCATCATCTGGCCCCTCTACAAGTTCGACGACAAGCACGGCGGCAAAAGCCACAGGCCCAACTCCTGCGGCTCCATGGTAGGACTGTGCCCGTGGGACAAGATGCTGGCCATCGCCGTGCTGACCGGTCTGAACTTCATCCTCTATCTGGCTGACCTCATCTACTCAGCCAGGCTGGTGTTCGTCTCTGTTTAACCCTCATGCTTTTGCTGAGATTGCCTTTATTTCCTTGTTATTTGGGCTCCTAGAGACCCCAAAGTATGTTTATATGCTACATTGGCTATGAACAAATATATGTATACACATAAATAAATGTTTGCCATTACGTGTAATTTTTAGTAGAAGTCTTCTGAAAAGTTTGTGAGCATGCAATTAAGAAAAGTTATCAGTATTAAGCTGACAAATCAGTGTTAGGTGTGGTTTTTGAGGTGCTGGGGTCTCCAGGACCCCGAACAGAAAAGGGATTAAGGGTGGACGGGGTGTGGAGAGGAGGAGAGAGGTGGAAGTAGATGTTGCAGGAGAGAAGCCTGGCTTATGGTCAGCGAGGCGTCTGTAGTGTTACTGTCATAAACATGAAGCTCACTTTATCTTCAAGCTTGGTGGCCCACAATCCTCAAAGTCGTCCTTAAGGGCTTTTATCATTAGTTGATTTTGTCTTTAACAGCCTAAAACCAATTAGATCTATCTAACATTGCATTTTGTACGTCTGCAGTGCTCTGATTTTAGCATTTATCAGGCAGTTTTAGCCATTAACAAAGCATTTTTTCATCCTTCATCGCTAATGTTTGTAAATGGTAGGGAGGTGATGGAGGGCCATCCTATCCACCCAGATCCAGCCAGGTTAATCTGGGACTCTCAAAAAAAGAGCCCACACTTAAAGATAAAAAATATTTTTGTTGATTTTTATAAAATTAAATGAATACATTTTTTAAATATATATATCAGCGCTTGCAGGCCACCACTTAACCCACAGAATGATCAGTCGTTCCAAATTTCATGTCCTCTCACATATTGCCAGCACTAATGCTGTGTCAGTCACAACTGGGAACTTGGAATTTTCCAACAAGGAATCTTATGCGTCCCACCTAAAAGCTTTCATACAACTCAAAGCTGTTTGTGGTCAGAAATGGATGCTCTCAGTCCGCCAGCGCTTATTTGGCTGCTGTCTGCTATAAATATTGAATTAAAGAGCTGTTTGGCGAGTGCTTCATTTATTTTCCTCACAATTACCCCAGTATCCTCCTGTATTTATCCACATTATAAACAAACAGCATATCGGACACGAACAGAAGCTCAAAAATCTGTTTAAAACGCTGAAAACAAGCTATTACTTCTTCTATCGGCGCCACCGTCTTGAAATGACGTCACTGAGCTCTTGAGAACTTAACCTCGAAATCTCTGAGTTGGATTTACGAGTTTGAGGGACGTTCAAATGGATTTTTCCTACTTGTGAGTTCCCAGCTGGTCACGAACGCAGCGTTAGGCCTCACCACGAACACTGCAGACGCCTAAAGCATCAGCCGTAACTCAAGCCGGTGGAAAGGCCTGTTCAAAAATGGGTTTGTTATGAAGTATTTTTTGAGCGTTCATGTTTTTTACAGATATATTGTTTTATGTTTAAGTGTTAAATGTCGTTTTGTCACTTTTCAGCTATCATATTATACCAAAGAGGCTTTCAGATAATGTACTTTAAAATTCAGGTAGAACCTTTTTTGCGTAACGTCTGCTCTTATCCATTCATGAGCTGTCGGTGTTTTGCAGACACAGGGTGTTGCTGCCTCTGCATGTGGAACTCGTCTCACGTCGGCTAAGACAGGCTCAGTATTAATCGCAGGAGTGTAGGACGTTTATCAGTGTCAGATTTCCTAACGCTCATCCCCCCATAGCATTCAGGTTGGTTCACATACATTGACGATCAGACCGAATCTGCACTACGATACTTGATACAATGCAACATGTAACACTTTGGGACTAGTACTTCCTTTTTTACTTAGCGGCTCAGTTATCTCATCTCCACTCTTGAAATTGAATTACGATGGAGAATTAAGTGTATATTCTGACATATCGCATCATGCATTATTAAATATAAAGCAGTGTTAAACCTGTTGGTGGTATTCTGAGTATATTTTGCTGTTCAATACTGCAGGAAATGATGTTTTGACGAGAGGAATCATCTTAAATCTAGTCAGTGTTGTCTATGGTGCTCGTGTAATTGTACTGTCTTACTATAATTAGTAGTATTTTGGAAAATTTGTACATATACATATACATGAGTACATATGTTTTTATTTACATTTCCAAGAGAACAAACATACTTTGTACTCATTACAAATCTCAAAGGCCAAGATAAGCATTTTTAATAAATATATAATAATTAAATAATTATTTTTCAGATGAGTCAAATTCCATTTAATTAATCCAATCTAATACTTATCCATGTAAAATTGAACTGCTATTTGTGAAAGGATCATTAGTTTCTACACCAAACATGTCAACACTTTGTATGCATACCAAGTTTATCCCTGTGTTCAGCTGTATTTGAATTTTACACAGGTTGTGGAAAATCAATCTGAACTCAAAACTGACCTTTTTAAATCTTGTTAGTTCATGTTTCAGGTCAGCACAATTCGTTATATCATCTCATTTAAAAGGCTAAATTCTCATTTTGTCTCATGTTTCACTCACAAATATGTCGGAATATGAAAATACGCAGCTTTGGCATATATATATATATACATATATATATATGCCAAAGCGTGTACGTCCCTGGTGAATTTAGGTGTTTTGTAGAGAATAAGTTAACACATCTTCTACATGGAACACACTTAATACTTAAATATGGCATTTTTCTGCAAATTTCACTGCACAATTTCTGTTTTTTTTTTGTTTTTTTGCTGAGTTCAACATATTGAGTGAAAAAAATAAAACACAAAATGTAAAAAGTGCGCTTACTTTATCGAAGGCCACATCTTTGGCTTTATTTTTCTCTGATGCGTTAAAATCAGCAAATAGCAGTAATTGTGTACTGAAATGCGTGGAAGTGTGTCTCTGTATTGGATGTACAGCTTATTTACACTTCCGAAATCCTGAAAAACATATAATTGAAGCAGAGGCGCCCAAACTTTTGCACAGGACTGTGCAGTGAATACATGTGAGATGATTTCTTTTGCCCGGCGGTGATTTTTTGCAGTGAAATGGTTCAGCAGTTATTCTGGGTGCAGTGGCGTCAGTGTTAGACGGACGTGTGCCGCTGTGTGGACGCTGCTGTGAGTGTGTGCTGTGTGTAACTCTGTGTGTCCACTGAGCTGTATCAGTTACACTCTCACCTCACAGCAGCAGAACAATGAAACGTCCCTCTGTGTTTGTTGTGCTGGGGTCCGGGGAGGGAGGGGGGGCTGTCTCTGACTGTTACGGTGTTGGAGTGATTCACTGTGTGATGAAGGAGGCTGTGTGGCATGGTGTTGTTCTCCTCTCTCTGCTCCCTCTGTTACTGTGGAACTCCAGCTCTGAATAAAAGTCGTCCAAAGGAAATGACAGATCTCCCTCTCTCTCTCTGTGTGTGTGTGTTCTTGTGTCATGCTAGTCCCAGCCTCATGTCCTTTCTGGATGGTTCTGTGCAGTCGGGAACCCTCAGGGCCTCCAGAAAAGGCCTATTTCTGTGAAATAAATAAAAGAAATATATGTGTCTGTAACTTTTAGCTCATTTCCATTCAACATAAATATCAAACTCTCTAAGTATTGCTGTATTTTTCTTACAAACAAAAGGGTTAAAATCTTGAAACAGCCAACAGAAAATAGTCCAGTCAGCATTGTTCTCTCTGTGGTATCTACACAGATTCAGCTAAGCTGCTCTCCCATTGGTTAGGGCTTCAGGAGCAGAACTGAAGGCCTTACACGTTAGATTACCTACCTAACATAATTAAGAAGTGACAGAGGAATCAACTGGTTCTGGTTAGCCTGGGGGACGGCAACATGTGGCTCTGTTACTGCCCTGTTGCTCCACAGCTGAATCTGATTAGTAGGTAATAATAAAATAATCCTCCTTTACAGTAAAATAAAGCTCTGCTGATCGTTCAACACAGTTTAACAATAAATGGTCTTAAACTCTGGAGTTAATGTAGAACTGCTGATTCACCCTTTAACCCTGAAGATCAGCGCAGACTGCTGGTCACCATAGCAACGCAGACAACAGTCTCGCCTAGTTAGTAGCTAACGAAACGGCAAAGAGAGAGATTTAAGATGAACATCGATAATTTGGAGACAAATGGACTCATTTGTGTTTATAATCACTCCAGCTGGTTTCCTGATACGTTTAATCTGCAATGAGAAACTGAAATGCTAAAAAGTCATGAAGCTGAAGTTTCTCATTCGCCAGATTCTAGTTCAAACTTTACATTACAGATTCTCCCGTTCCACCTTAAATGGTGCCTTAGTGCCAGAATGCAACGGCTGCACCATTTAAGGTGGAACGGGAGAATCTGAACAAGAAGCAGGCAAATGAGACTTGAGTCTCGTAAAAAGTCGAATGTTGAGAGACATTTTACAATAAACTGTTCTACTTTTGAGGAAAAGTTTCCTGCTGGAGATGCGAGAAAAGCAGCTATAGCTGAGCTGAAGCTTAAAGCAGAGCAAAGTAAGGTTGCATTTTCAGTTATATTTTTTATCCTACACTACTACATTAACACACGCTGAGTCATATTTACAGTAATGATGTTAAAATGGACATAAAATGTTGTGGCTCCCAAGGGGGTCTGATTTTTGTAGAAAGAACCAAATGACTTCTTCTTACCATTTAGGTTTCCGACCCCTGGGTTAGTTGTTAGGAATGGAAAACAGTGGCTGCAGGACTCTTTCCTGAAGGACCCTGATGAAATAGACAATAAGGTCTGGTCATTTTGCTTTCTTAAAAGAATTTGCTTAATAGCTACCATTAGAGACCACTGTAGGACACCTGTAGATACCATTAGAGAACCATCAAATGCATCTGGAATCTGTCCCAGAAAACCTGTTAGACCTTTAGAGTCCTTACACTGTGATTTCAACCCCTCAGGAAAACAGCAGGAGCCAACAGAAACTTGTAATGGTTTCTATGACTTTTTTCAGCAGGGGGGTCACTAGCTGACATTTTAAAACAAGCTCTGCTCCAATGGCCTCGTTTTCTGTCATTTTCATGGTGCTGTGGGTAACCGAAGGCCTGGAAGTATACATCTGATGCATCCTTGAACTCACTCAGAACGTAGGCTGCATTTCAAGCCTGTATACAAAGGTCCTTCACTTTGGAATGGCCTCCTATGACGTAGCGGCCGAGAAATGCAGCCTAACTCGGCTGCAACCCAGACTTTGGAACGCAGCCACTGTAAAACTGCTACAGAGTCAAAAATACGTTAATATCTGCTCAAGATTCAAAGAAAGCATATGCAATATCTTTTACAAGCTACAAATGTCTATGTTTAATCTAGAGCGGCTACAAAATATTCAGAATCGCTGTTAGCTTAGTGCTAACATACAAATAGAATCCCATAGAGGTGCTAGCAGACAGAAGTGCTTCTCCTCAGTTTTAACACGGTTTTAACATTTATGGCCTGAACTGAAAGGCCGAGCTGTGACAGTCATGGTCCAGCTCTGAGTGAGTGTTTGTTAAGAGAGATCCAGAGCAGCTGCTGCTCTCTCCACACTCACAGCTCCATTCTGTATCAAACATAAACAAAGAAATGTCAAACACACTCACACAGACATGCAGGGGCCAGTGGTGATGGTGTGACTGGGCCCAGCAGGTCTAGGCCCACCTACTTTTATCACTGGCCCACCCAGTGACTGTTACTTTCAGTATTAAAATCTTATGAATGAATTAACAAAAAAAAGAGAAAAGTGAAAATTACCTTGCTGATGATATTCAAAATTCCTTTTTTAACATCGACCAAAATCAAAATCCCAGTTTAGCTTATCACGAATTCCATCAGACCTGCACCCATTTTTCAACATTTCTACATAATTAAAAGATTGAGATGTAAACAGACTGGTTCAGAGAGGTTCAGAGTCATGCAGAGTGGTTTGGTGTGAAACGCTCTGTTCCAGATAAACTTACCGAGTCAGAACTGTTCACAGTGGTGGTGATAGGAACCAGACGTCCACCTCTAAAAGCTCCCTCACAGAAAGTTCCTACATGAAATGGTTATGAATTCACTGCCTGATGACTGAGACACTGTTTTATGATAGTTTAGAGAACTTAAACTCCATTCATGGTGGAGGGATACATGCAGGGCGCTGTGAGGCAAAATAGTCCCCAAAGAAAACGTATTATTTCAGATGTTCCACTATTTTCTCATCATCAACATTCCATATAAACTCAGAAGACTCGTGTAGGTTCACTGGTGGTTCTGGATAGTAAATAAAATGTCTATATTTGTGTTGTAGTCATGGCGACCCCTGGTTCCTATCACCACCACTGTAAAGACATCTGAGCCTGTAATTTACTCTGCAATGAACAATTTTGTATCAAATCACTCTTGATGACTTTGTTTACATCACAACAACAGAATTATAATTAGGCCAGTCTAGCACCTGCACTCTCTTACTATGAAGCTGTAAAATGCAGAATGTGGCTTGGCATTGTCTTGCTGAAACAAGCATGGACGTCGCTGAAAAAGATGTCATCTAGATGGCAGCATAAGTTACTCTAAAATGAGGATGTACCCCTCAGCACTAATGGTTCCTTCACAGATGTGCGGGTTACTTACTAATACCCCCCCCTCCCCACACCATGACAGTAACAATCTAAATGGTCCTTTTCTTCTTTGGCCTGGAGAACATCACATCCATAATCTCTGTGAAAAATGTGAAGGTTGACTCGTCAGACCACAATACGTGTTTCCACTGAGCATCAGTCCATTTCAGATGAACTTCAGCCCAGAGAAGTCGGCGGCGTTTCTAGATGTTGTTGGTCTATGGCTTCTGCTTTGTGGATGCAGCAGCTGATGATGTTTATTCACAAAGGTTTTCTGAAGTACTCCTCAGCCCATGTGGTGATATTCATTAGAGAAGCATGCCTGTTTTTAATGCAGTGAGGGATCGTAGGTCATGTAAAAATCCTTGCAAATGCTTGGTAAGGAACGCTCATAAAGGACTCTGCCTTTCCTAGATGCTCCTTTTATACCCAAGCATTATTCACTCTCAGAAATAAAGGCACTAAACCATCACTGGGGCAGTACTCCTTCTGTCACTGGGGTGGAACCCTCAAGGGTCCATCTCAGTCCCTTTAGTCAGGGAACATAACTGAACCATAATCCACTGAAATGATATGTTCTAAGCTGTACTGACTCCACACACCCCGTCTCGTCTCCAGGCTTTTATTTTACTGTTCTGTTTAAAACATTCGGTTATGAAAAGGTACAAATACGAACTTTTCACCTGGAGAAACTTATTTAAGGTTCACAATCAGACCTTAAACCACTGTTGGAGCTTTGAGGGAACATTTACACTGTTTGTACTTTGATGAAGGAAAAATGTACCTGAACAGAACCTTTAGAGTTGGATCAGCTGTTTGAGATGTTTTTTGAAAGATTTCACAATGTTCCTGGTCTTAAATTGCTCCTGTCCCAAATTTTCTGGCACATGTTGCAGGACAATGAGCATATATTTACAAAAAAGAATGAAGTTCAAAAGATAAAACATGTTTTTAATTAAAAAGCAGGTCAAAGTTGATTAACAAATCCCTGTTTTCTGTTTTGACTTGGGTTCTACATACTGTTCCCACTCTTTTTGGAACTGGGTTTGTATGAGTGTTCAGATCACAGTCAACAGATGTTAATCTCACAGGACACACACAGAAGCTTGGTGGTGTTTCCTGTCGTAATCAGGTCTAGGTGGTTTACTTTCAATAATGCAAATGCAGAAATCTCACTATGATACGCAGTTTCATTTTTTAGTCCTGAGGGCAAACGAGTTCTCACTTCAGTTTTTGTTATTTAATATACTTCCTGTGCAGATATCCCCTTCAGATTTACATGCACAATATCTTTTGACTTCTTACTTATACCTACGATCAAAACAGTATGTATTCATTATGTTGAAATAAAGGTAAGTTTTAAAAATAAGAATAAAACATTAACATTAGTAGTTTGCAAAACTGTTGTTGGCAATTACAGCTTCAAGACATCTATGGTACGAAGTAATTAGCTTTTTGCAGCTTTGTGGTTCCGTCTGATGGACTTGCACTTTCAAAATCCTATGAACTTCCAATGACATTTGAACACTTTCACTTCCTTTAGGCCCTTTTTTAAACTTGACATTGCTCAATTCGACCCACCAGCTGTGTTACACAAGTTATCACTCTATGCCAGGGTTCGGCAAATCCGGCTCCGGAGACACATGCAGCTCTTTTCCTGTCCTGTTGTGGCTCCACAGCAGAATCAGATTAGTAGGTAAAAATAAAATAATCCTCCTTTACAGTAAAATAAAGCTCTGCTGATCGTTCAACACAGTTTAACAGTAAATGGTCTTAAACTCTGGAGTTAATGTAGAACTGCTGATTCACCCTTTAACCCTGAAGATCAGCGCAGACTGCTGGTCACCATAGCAACACAGACTACCGTCTCGCCTAGCTAGTAGCTAACGAAACGGCAAAGAGAGAGATTTAGGACAAACATCGATCATTTGGAGATGAATGGACTTATTAGTGTTTATAATCACTCCAGCTGGTTTCCTGATACGTTTAATCTGCAACGAGAAACTGAAACACTAAAGTTTCTCATTCGCCAGCTACTTGTTCAAATTCTCCTGTTCCACCTTAAATGGTACAGCAGTTACAATCTGGCGCGACTTCAGTCTCATAAAAAATCAAACATTGAGACACATTTTACAAGAAACTGTTCTACTTTTGAGGAAAAGTTTCCTGCTGGAGATGCGAGAAAAGCAGCTACAGCTGAGCTAAAGATTAAAGCAGAGCAAAGCAAGTCTGCATTTTTGTTTATACTGTATTTGTTAGTCTATACTAGCACATCAGCACACACTGAGACACATTTACAGCCAAGATGGTAAAATGGACATAAAATGTTGTGGCTCCCCAGATAGTTTGAATTTTGTTGAAAGGACAAAATTGGTCCCTTCACATTTGTGTTACGACCCCTGTTCTATGCAGAAGGTGCAAACTTTGCAGTGAAAAACTGTTTTTGAGGATGGTTTAGTTTAGTTTGAGCGTAACATACATAGCATTTGAGAGTATTTGCTTTATCTGGCTTTATCTGGCTTAAACTTAAAGAAGTTTAAGCCAGGTGAACTCTGGTGTTTAAGCCAGGTGAACTCTGGTGTTTAAGCCAGATGATCTGTGGTGTTTAAGCCAGGTGAACTCTGGTGTTTAAGCCAGGTGATCTGTGGTGTTTAAGCCAGATGAACTCTGGTGTTTAAGCCAGATGAACTCTGGTGTTTAAGCCAGGTGAACTCTGGTGTTTAAGCCAGGTGAACTCTGGTGTTTAAGCCAGGTGATCTGTGGTGTTTAAGCCAGATGAACTCTGGAGTTTAAGCCAGGTGAACTCTGGTGTCCTCAAGGTGAGTTAACTTGAGAAAAGCATTGTCTTTTTATCTGTTACTGTGTTTTTAATTATGCAGAAACATCTAAATTTATGGAATTCTCCATTAAATCACCCAGGCTTGCACTGCCACACTGAACATGCACCCACACACCCACCAACACAGATACGCTAGGGCGTGGCTCAGTCCGCTAGCTGCACTGATAACACCTGCTTTAGCGCTCAGCTCTCCCACTTCCCTCAGCTCTCTGAAGGACAATGGCCCAGGTGGAGCGGCTTCTGGACCGAGAGCAGTTCACCTGCCCCATTTGCCTGGACTTGCTCCGAGACCCTGTGGCCATTCCATGCGGGCACAGCTACTGCATGAGCTGCATTAACGTCTACTGGACAAACAATGACACGTGTAAGGGCGTTAGCTGCCCCCAGTGCAGGCAGAGCTTCAACCCCAAGCCCATCCTCAACAGGAACACCATCCTGGCCGAAATGGTGGAGAAGCTGAAGGTTGCGGTGCAGCCGTCCGTCCGTTCGGTGGCCAGTGAGGTCGAGTGTGATTTGTGCACTGAGACGGGAGGCAAAGCCGTGAAGTCCTGCTTGGTATGCCTGGCGTCTTACTGTAAAGCTCACCTCCAGCCGCACTACCAGTCTCCAGCGCTGAAGAAACACCAGCTGGTGGAGGCGTCCAGTCACCTTCAGGAGAAGATCTGCCCTCAGCACAACAAGCTTCTGGAGATCTACTGCCAGACGGACCAGCAGTGCATCTGTCTGCTGTGCGTGATCGACGGACACAAGGGTCACGACACGAGCTCGGCCACTTCGGAGAGCGCAAAGCAACAGGTAAAGAGGCGAAACGTGACAGAAAGTGATGGTCACTTGGGGTCCTGATTAGGATGCAGTACCCTGGCCCCGCTTTCATGAAACATTTCAAAATAAAAGTCCTTTGTTTTTCATTGTGCCGTCTGACTTTTGAGGAGGTAAAAACTTGACAAGAGTTTTTCTGTGAGTTGAGCGCTTTTAAAGTTGCCTTATTTTGCAACATGATTTTTATTTTGAAGTTTTCAAACATAAAATCATTCCAAACTATTTTATTACATTTTTTTATTTAACTAAATTACCTTTTTGAATTGTTTACTTAATCAACATATATGGTTGAACTTTTGCACCACCATTTTTAGACTTCTGGAGGCAAAAAGAAACTAAAATGGAATTTTTATGGATGCATTGAAAACTTTGCACCCTTAGCCTAGCTGGTTTTTCAGGATTCACCGTTGTGTATCATTTTCACATTATTGTCCAGCTGGCATTGTGCAAAACGCAACTGTTGGGACACACTGTGGTGTCACCTAATCCTGACTGCTGAGTCTAATCTAGAGGCTAATAAATACACTCCTGGTCAAAAAAATGGGCCGAGCCCAAAATGGCAAAATAACAAGCGTTTAATGGTCTTAACAACAAATCATTAAACAAACAGATGCAGTCAGTCAGTGTGGGAGAGTTTTTCACCTTGATTTCTGTAAATGTTGGAGTTTAGTGTGTAAACCTGCAGACAGTCTTTTACAGAAAGAAGAGTCAGTATTGATCCACTCAGCACTGACGGCTTCAAACAGCTGAAAACACTGACCAGCTAGTTTGAGTTTAATGTGAGGCCAAATATTCACAATAGGGTTTAAATCTGGACTCTGACCAGCCAAAACCAGCAAAAACACCATTATATTTCGGGTGTTTTCCATTTTTTTGCCCAGGACTGCAGATTACTGTTTAGTTCCTTAAGGAAAAAAAAAATGTTTCAGGCAGCAGTATATATACTGGCCAAAAATATTGGCTTAATATCTCAAAACAATTACTGATTTTCTCAAAATTTTGAGATACTATGTTGAAATAAAGAGGTTCATGAAATTTCCAGAAGGTAAGTTATTGATTTGGGATAATAAATCATAACTACAAAATACTAAGTCATTATTTCAAGATGCTAAATTAATATTTTGAGACAATAGGTCATTATTTCAAGATTTTTGAGAAAATAAGTCATTATTTCAAGATGCTAAGTCAATATTTTGAGAAAACAAGTCATTATTTCAAGACGCTAGTTCAATATTTTGAGAGAATAAGTCATTATTGCAAGATTTCTGAGAAAATAAGTCATTCTTAAAAGATACTAAGTCAATATTTTGAGAGAATGAGTCATTTCGAGATTTTTGAATTTTGATTATTGGAAGATGCTGAGAGAATATTTTAAGATAATAAGTCATTAATTCAGGATCGTAAACAGCTGAAAAACATTGCAGAGCTAGTTTGTGTTTAATGTGAGACCAAATATTCTCTATAGTGTTTAAATCTGGACTCTGACCAGCCAGAACCATCAGAAACACCATTATATTTTGGCCGTTTCCCTAATTTTTGCCCAGGAATGTAAACGGCACCAAAACCGAACACAAGTTGTTTGAAGGTTAAGACTATTAGAAGGTAAAGTTATTACATTTAGTGACTTTCTGTATTAATACGGCCAAACAGCTAAAATAAAGTTTTGATACTTTTTATTCCTTGATATTAAAATAAAATTTCACTGAGGGTCAGGAGCTCAGGTTGCTGATCCTCCTTTGATCCAGGTTTCAAGCAGAACCTCAGACGGCCTGATTGTTATCAAACACTGAGCGGTGGCTAACGGGACGACGTGAAAGAGCACACTGTCTCACATTCAAATCTCAGCAGTCTCACCCTCCCTCCTCTCTCCACTGCTTCCTCTATTGTTATTAGCTGAGATAGGTATCTTCAGCTCTTATCCAATCAGAGGCTGGGTTGGCCTGATGCCTTTGGCAACCTGCTCTACTGTTTTGAATACGGTATATGCAGGATATCCGCATATCCATGTTCCTTATTATGAACATATCCCAATATAGCATCATCTGTATCAGTTATTAAAGAGAAACTCCTCTTATTGTTCTAAATCTCTGCATAACTCAGTGTGTGAGATGTAAACAGAGTGACTCAGAGCAGTTTGGTGTGAAATGGTTCAGATGTCTTTACAGTGGTGGTGATAGGAACCAGGGGTCGCCATGACTACAACACTAATATAGACATTTTATTTACTATCCAGAACCACCAGTGAACCTACACGAGTCTTCTGAGTTTATATGGAATGTTGATGATGGAAAATAGTGGAAAATCTGAAATAATAAGTTTTCTTTGGGGACTATTTTGCCTCACAGCGCCCTGCATGTATCCCTCCACCATGAATGGAGTTTAAGTTCTCTAAACTATCATAAAACAGTGTCTCAGTCATCAGGCAGTGAATTCATAACCATTTCATGTAGGAACCACTCTGAACCACTCTGTTCACATCTTTTGGAACTTCTCCATTACATCATGCCTGGATTTTCCTCCACAGAAGCAGCTGGGGGTGACGAGGCGGAGGTTCAGGCTGAGAATCCACGCGAAGGAAAAGGAACTGACGGAGCTGAGACAGGCGGTGGAAACTCTTAAAGTGAGACTTTAGCCCTTGTGTTAAACACATTAGGGCTTTTACACGCCTCAGTTCCTTTGTTTAGTTCCAGATGGAAGTTCACTCCAGCCAGATGGAGGTGAAAAATAATTTATAGAATAAAGATGGCAAAAATATTGACTTAATTTCTCAAAATAATTACTTATTTTCTCAAGATTTTGAGATACTACGTTGAAATAAAGAGTTTGGTGACATTTCAAAAGGATAAGTAATTGTTTTGGGATGATAAGTCATAACTACAAAATACTAAGTTATTATTCCAAGATGTGAAAGGAATTTTGAAAAAACGTTTAATATTTGAGAAAATATGTCACGATTTTAAAATTTTGGAGAAAAGTCATTCTTTTAAGACTTTGGAGAAAATGTCATTATTTAAAAATGCTAAGTCAATATTTTGACAGAATATGTCATTATTTCAAGAAAGTAAGTCAATATTTTGAGAGAGTAAGTCCTTATTTCAAGATGCTAAGTCAATATTTTTCAAAAATAAGTCATTATTTCAAAATGCTAATTTAATATTTTAGGAGAATAAGTATTTTTTAAGATGCTAAGTCAATATTTTGGGAGAACAAGTCATTATTCAGTCACTTTTTCAATGTTTTGACATACTGATGCTAGAAACAGAAACGGGACAGAAGCAGGCAGTTTATCTCCTCTATTTGGAGTGAAGGTGCTTCTGTAGAACCCATTTCTCAGTGCAGTACCGGGTGGATTGGAGAGCCACTGTCTCCTCTCACAGATCTCGGTTCACTCATCGGCGGAGGGCAGCAAGCAGATCTTTGGGGAGCTTGTTCAGTCTGTGCAGAGGAGGTGCCAGGAGGTGAGAGAGCTGATCCAAGATCAGGAGAGGATGGCTATGAGCCTGCTGGAGAAACTGGAGCAGGAGATCCTCGAACTCAAGGAGCAGGACCACAAGCTGGAGCTGCTCCTGCACACGGATGACCACATCCATCTCCTTCAGGTAGCCAGAGGTTCAGAGAGAAGGACAGAAACACAACTCAGCTCATCCCGACTGCTAATACTCACTCAGTCACTCACTGATGACTGGTGGTCCTACAAGTTAGTAAAGTTATTGGTGTGTCTGTATTTTGGGTGTTTGTGTTTCTCTCTTTCTATCTGTAGACCTACAGGTTGTTCTCTGCCACTCCCGGACCCCCAGACGTGCCCAGTATCTCCATAGCTCCATTCTCTGATCTCGGGAACGTGACCAGTGCCATCACTGCTCTCAGGACAAGGCTAGAGGGGGTTTTCAAAGCAGAGTGGCCCAAGATCATCAGAGCAGGTGAGGGGAAAAAGTATTACCGTTTACATCCAAGACCCAAAAGTGTCCAGGGAGCTGCTCATCTAGCATTTCTTCAAAAAGCGTCTTCACAGGGAGTTTGCCCCCCCCCACCCTTCAGCAAAGGCTTTCCGAAACATGTTGGAACGCTGCTGGGAATTAGCCACAAGAGCAATAATGAGACCAGCTGATCCTAAAGTTTTTTTGTTTGGCAGGAGCTCCGCTCACCAACCAATCAGCACTCAGTAGCAGTAACGCTAACCAATCAGCTCTCAGCAGTAGTAACGCTAACCAATCAGCTCTCAGCAGCAGTAACGCTAACCAATCAGCTCTCAGTAGCAGTAACGCTAACCAATCAGCACTCAGTAGCAGTAACGCTAACCAATCAGCACTCAGTAGCAGTAACGCTAACCAATCAGCACTCAGTAACAGTAACGCTAACCAATCAGCACTCAGTAGCAGTAACGCTAACCAATCAGCACTCAGTAACAGTAACGCTAACCAATCAGCACTCAGTATCAGTAACGCTAACTAATCAGCACTCAGTATCAGTAATGCTAACTAATCAGCGCTCAGTAACAGTAATGCTAACCAATCAGCACTCAGTATCAGTAATGCTAACCAATCAGCTCTCAGTGGCAGTAATGCTAACCAATCAGCACTCAGTATCAGTAATGCTAACCAGTCAGCACTCAGTATCAGTAATGCTAACCAATCAGCTGTCAGTGGCAGTAATGCTAACCAATCAGCAATCAGTATAAGTGATGCTAACCAATCAGCGCTCAGTAGCAGTAATGCTAACCAATCAGTGCTCAGTAACAGTAATGCTAACCAATCAGTACTCGGTAGCAGTAATGCTAACCAATCAGCACACAGTAGCAGTAATGTTAACCAATCAGCACTCAGTAGCAGTAATGCTAACCAATCAGCACTCAGTAGCAGTAATGCTAACCAATCAGCACTCAGTAGCAGTAATGCTAACCAATCAGCACTCAGTATCAGTAATGTTAGCGTCCTGCTGCCCGAAACCCGTTTACTGTAGAATAAATGAAACATACAGGTGAGTTTTCTTTGTTTTTTTAGTGAAATTAATTCTTCTACTGTCTAAAACTAAAGGAAAGTTCTGATTCAGTGATTAGAAACTATTTTAACTATTCGTTTTTAGCCACTGAGCTCCATTTACTCCCATTCATTGAGGGCTGGCTCGTGGGCGCCCTCTGCTGTTTAGCACTCCTGTTTTTCATATAATGAGGGAAATAGGAAGTGGCCAGACTCCAAGTAAAAACAGATGTCCAGCTATACTGACCATAAACTGCCACACATCCATACTGTAGTTGGATATTCGCTCTGTTTAACTCTGAATATTATAGATTTTGAATAAGGTCTGATGTTTATTTTAGCGAGCTTTTAGCCCAAAATCCTGTCTTCAGCTCTGTGCAGTGCATAAATAGAGCCCCTTCCTTAGGGCTGATATGATTGGCTAACAAGGTATGAGGTCTGATATGATTGGCCAAACGTTACGACAGTCAATCTCTGGTAGAACAGCAGAGGCAGATTCAAAATCTATAACATACAGAGTTAAACAGAGTGAATATATCCACCTACAGTATGGCTTTGTGGCAAATTATGGTTAGATAATTTGCTGGATGTTTTTTTTTTGTTTGGTTGTTTTTGTTTGGTTTTTTTTTCAGCAGCAGCGCCTCCCCCAGGTCGCACCCTGCTATTACAGTATATTGAGAATGGGAATAACCTATAGATGATTTGGCTAGTAATGTACATTTACTCATGAAGGAGTGGTGGTAAATAACATTTCAGGACTAAAGCCACCCTAAAATTGGCCTAGCAACGCCCATGGAGCTTCATCACCCAAACTCAACTAAAAGGTGTTCACCTTAGCCTCATCACCCAGAGATGTTCAGTGGAGCTTCATCACACCAGCTCATTCCAATGATGTTCATCATTCCAAGTTATCTCATTCCATCTCTTCCCTAAATGATGAGCTCTACTTCTTCAGTACTTCCCAAAGGACATGAATGGAGCTTCACCAACCCAGTTCATCCTAAATGTATTCTGTGGAGCTTCATTTCTCCAACTCGTCCCTTATGTGTTCAGTGGAGCTTCACCACCTCAGAGAACATGATTCCACGACTCTCCATGCCAATAGAGGGAGTTTTACAGCCCTATGCAACATACCTGGCATTGGGCCTAGTGATCCTGGGCTTGCTTGCAGATTTTCCAGAGCTTCATTCTACTGTCAGTGCTTTTCTACTGAGAATACCCAGGTGCATGTTTTGCAGTTGAACATCTGTGTCAGCAATAAACAGACTAATCCACTCACTGGACATGGTGTCTGGATACTTTTGGATATCTTTGTGTATCTTCCCTGATAGGAAGAGGATAGTGGACCACTGTCGGCAAAGCTGGCGTGTCCACTGGCGTTTTGCTCAGCGTTTTCTGGGCGGTCCACCGTCTGGTCATCACTCATTTTCCACTCACAGTCCAATTTACTGATTTTTCCTACGTTCTTTTCTTTAGTTATACTTTATAAATTAGTAGTTTAGTAAGTAATTTTAATCCAGCTCAGTGTCAGCAACATTTTCTATAAGATATTTTTATATCAGGCCTGGTCGTTAATTTTTTTTTATCTGGGTGGTCTGTGGGGGGACCAGCAGTGGCGCACAGTAGGCGGGGTGCCGACCTTGTTAAGCCAGCGGACCGATATATGCTGCTCTCTGGGTTTGTAGTCATTGTGCAGTATTATCATTTGTGTGTAGTTGGGTAAAAGTGTCAGATGAGTTTTTGTTGTTTTATTCTCAGCCAGCACGGTGAAGATCCTCCAGAGTCCACTTCCCAAAATCAGACCGGAGTTCCTTTACTGTGAGTACTGCAGGCCTTAAATACACAGTGCCTATGTAAATAAAGCGCTGAGGGATCATAGTAAAGTGTCCATCACACGGTTGTGTAATTTGCTTTGTGGTTGAAATGAATGTGTATAAAAGTCAAGTTCAACAGTTTGTATTGGCAGAGTTTGCATAATTGAGCTGTTGAGTTGAGCCACACTGTGTGATGTAACCTCCTTCCTTTTTGCTCTTCTCTGTTTCTCCCCCGCCCACCCTCTTCTCCAGACTCCCGCCAGCTCACGCTGGACCCTCGCTCGGCCCACAGGGAGCTGAGCGTGTCTCCCAACTGCAGGACGGTGTCGGTGCGGGCGCGAGAGCATTCCTGTCCTGACCAGCCCGAGCGCTTTGATTACTGGTGCCAGGTGCTGGGCTCCGAGGGCCTGCGGGGCTGCTGCTACTGGGAGGCCGAGTGGAGCGGGATGGGCATCACCGTGGCTGTGGCCTACAAGGACCTGGCCAGGAAAGGGGATGGCAGTGATGCTCACTTTGGGCGCAATGCTAATTCGTGGAGTTTGTTCTGCTCTAGGAAAGCTTATGCTTTCTGGCACAATAACACAGTGACCAGGATCCCGGGGCCAAGCTCATCCAGGATAGGGGTTTACCTGGACCACAGTGCCGGCACGTTGGCCTTCTACAGCGTCTCTGAGAACATAAGGCTCCTCCACAAAGTTCACACCACATTCACCCAGCCCCTCTACCCCGGCTTTGAGTTCACATGTTACGGAGTATTTGTTACATTATGTCAGATGGAGTAGGGCTCACAATTTGTGGCCACTTTATTAGAAACACCTACCTTAAGCTGACTTAAGTGGTCAACTAGATTAAATTCAGTTTTAAATACATGTAGTGTGGACAAGAAGTAAAATATCAAAATTTAATATTCAGTTTTGACAACATTTATATACCTGTCATGTACATCATCCTACTAAATGCTGTTGACAGTACTGACATAGCCAGTTTGACCACAACAGAAAGGACATTATGCCCCCTGGTGGTAAATATAAAAAAGCAAAATTCTTAGAAACACCTCCCTTGTACTTCCACTACCTGGCCACTTCATCAGAAACACCTACCTTAACTTCCACTAACTGGCCAATTTATTAGAAACACCCACCTTGTGCTTCCACTGACTGTCCACTTTATTAGAAACACCCACCTTGTGCTTCCACTAACTGGCCACTTTATTAGAAATACCTACTTTGCACTTCCACTAACTGGCCACTTTATTACAAACACCCACCTTGTGCTTCCACAAACTGGCCACTATATTAGAAACACCCACCTTGTGCTTCCACTAACTGGCCACTATATTAGAAACACCCACCTTGTGCTTCATCATCAGCAGCTGTTCTCTTCTATTTTTCTTACTCAAGCTTTCATTTCAACCTACAAGATGAAGACCAGACTGCACACAGTACCGTTCACTTCAGCTGAATAAGAACTATTTGTAATCATGTTTATCACCTATTCATGATGTTTTAACTTGTATTGATTATTTAACTATAATATTTTATTATTATTATTAGTAGTAGTAATAATAGTGTAATAATGTCACTGTTGTTTAATATTACAAATATCACTCATTCTCCCCTAAAAACTAAATAGTTAGTAAGTTGTTTTTCTTTTAAATATTACATAAAGCATGTTGAGCTGCATTCGTATCATACCATTGTTATTATTAATATTATTCATGTGCTATGTGATTTTGGGTCTACTTAATCTGTGTAATACTATACTACAGGAGACTCTACAGAACCTTCAATCTTAGAGTTTTTTCCCCGTCTCCTTCCAAGTAGAGCTGTATCTGCACAGCTAACATTTTTAATGAGCACTTACTGTTTATTTGCTAAATTCAACATAAAAAAATAAAGATACAACACAAGATGTGTGCAAAACGTATATTTTATGCTTTATTTATTCCAGCACAAATAGAAATGGTGCATTAAAATTTCCAGACAAATGGCGTAGCTGAGTGTGTTCCCTGTAGAGGATATACTAACTTATTTACACTGAGAAAATCTGGATTCTTTACTGGAGCTTTTCACATCAAACCACTTTGTTTACTACTGAATTAGACTGAAAATTTGAAAAAATGGACGGACTTCTCCTTGCAATTATTAGTGATATTCATAAAAGGCCTCTGATTATGCACTAATACAGATTATAATGAATAAAGCTTAATAAAACATTCAGAAGAGTCTAATTTGGGCTTTAATGAACAGCAAAGCCTTAATATGTGTTCCTTAAAATAAGGTGAACCCAGTGCATAAAATTATGATAAATAAAAATTCTGTATTATAAAAATAGAGAATTCACCCCAGTTATTGGTTAATAAAGAAGTAATGAGCCATACAATCTAAAAAAAAATCTCATCTGATTTGTACTGCCCACTGATTTGTACTGGCCACTTTATTAGAAACACCTGCCTTGTGCTTCAATTAACTGGCCACTTTATTGGAAACACCTACCTTAACTTCCACTAACTGGCCACTTTATTAGAAACACCTACCTTAACTTCCACTAACTGGCGACTTTATTAGAAACACCTACCTTAACTTCTACTAACTGGCCAGTTTATCAGAAACACCTACCTTAACGTCCACTAACTGGCCACTGTATTAGAAACACCTACCTTTACGCCCACTAACTGGCCACTGTATTAGAAACACCTATCTTTATGTCCACTAACTGGCCACTGTATTAGAAACACCTACCTTTACGTCCACTAACTGGCCACTGTATTAGAAACACCTACCTTTATGTCCACTAACTGGCCACTGTATTAGAAACACCTACCTTTACGCCCACTAACTGGCCATCTCACCTGCATACACTCTACACTCTCAAACAGATGGTTCTTCATTAAGAGAATGGTTCTGTATAGAATCATTGGACCTCAGTCTGTTCTTAAGTGTGTTCTTGAGAAAGGTTCTAAGAAAAAGTCTCCGTCAGATTCATGTCGTGTTCTTAAAGCGCAGAACTGTTCTCCCCTTTGTGCTCTTGAGTGTGCGTAGGTTCTGTTCTTCCCTAAGAACAAACCCCACATAAGAGAACGTGAATGACAGAGTCTTCATCAAAACTGCATAAGAAGGAATTTTTTTCTTAAGAATGGTTGGAGAACAAGGCCTACATAGAACCATAAACACTCAAAGAACCCTTTGCATGCCTAAATGGTTCTTTGCATGGTGAAATAGTTCTTCAGACTGATGGAGAATGTGCTGTGTATTGTTCTATGTAGAACCTTTTTGAAAGGAGTTCTACATAGCACCAAAAGGGTTCTGCTATTGTTACAAGTTTGACATCACACCAATAGAAGAACTCTTTTTTGGTGCTATATAGAACCACATACAGCACATTCTCCATCTATCTGTAGAGCTATTTTAGCATGCAGAGAACCATATAAGCATACAAACGGTTCTCTGAGTGTTCATGGTTCTACACAGAACCCTTATCTTTACTAAAGAGCCCATCTTTTTTGAGTGTGCATAATCCCTCTTAACTCTCCTGACAGGACTGAATCAGCTGGTCTGACCCCAACAGAAAGGACACTGCGCCCCCTGGTGGTAAACACAAAATAATACAAGTTAGATTCTGAGAGTAAAGAAACAGCTCAGTCCACAGATGGTCACTGTGCACCTGTGTAGTGGTGGACAGATCTGACAGTGACCACTAATTACACTGCAGAATGTAATCAATATTGTAATGTTATTATAGATCACTGGAGTCTCTAATTCTTTTATTTGGGTTTAATTTCATACTGATTCAAGATTCAAGAGTTTTACTGTCATATGCACAGCAGAAACAGGCAGTTCATATATATATATATATATATATATATATATGTATATGTATATATATATATATATATATATATATATATATATATATATATATATATATATAAATACACTGAATAAGTAGAAATACACTAAAAACAATAGTAAAAAAGTAAAAAGTACAGTTATATTGTTGGATCCAAAAAGAGAAAAATGGGCTTCTTATTCACCAGCTTTGTATTCAGATGTCCCGTTCCACCTTAAATTTAAGGTGGAATGGAAATTTCAAATGAGAATCCAGTTTAGCCTCATAATTCCTATGCTGATAGATGCAGGATCAGCTGCCCCATTTAAGGTGGAACGGAAACAGGTGCCCCATTTAAGGTGGAAGAGCTTCCCCTTTTAAGGTGGAATGGAAATTTCACACCAATGAGAAGCCAGTTTAGCCTCGTAGTTTCTATGCTGAAAGATGCTGGACCCAGACATTCTTTTGAAGTTCTTTAAAGATGGAGCCAGAAACTTTGATTTTAGTGTTTTATTTTTTTAATTTATTAGAGCTGGAGCTGCTTCTCTCTGTCGGCTCTTTGCTCCATAAAACAAACTGAAACGTCAGTGTGAGTTTTGCTTCAGGCCACATCGGTTTTTTAACATTTGTATCATTCGCTGTTCGACTCAGTTTAAACCCTCTTACATTTAAAGTGTCTCCTCAGCCGCCGTTCGCTCCTCTGCTGACCATGTTCTCGAATCCTCGCCGGCACGCAGTGAACCTCAGGATATGTTGGCTTGTTGGATCATTGGTTGCCATGGAAAAGAAGGACACATTTCTCGGCCGCATATGAAGGAACCTTTGAAATGGGACGGTCTAGTCACGGCCTTCAAATGCAGCCTCCGAAGGACGCAGCGCCTGAATTGGGACACAGCTCATGTGGCCATGAGGGACAGGGATGCAGCCTCACTTCCTGCTCCAAAATGCAGGGGTGTGGCTAAAATAAGGCTCTGCCTAAAGACTAAAACTCAGTAGTGACATGAAAACGTGGGACAGCATTTTTTATTTAAACATTAAACTCATGATAAATCTAAATCTTTCAACTTCACTTTAAAGGAAATGAAAACAATCTTTTAAAAAATTTTTAAAAATGTAAAAAAAAAAGTAATTTTCAGAAGTGTAAATTTGGGGATTGGGGTTTGGGACAGACTCCTCCCAATAGAAAGTACCCTATAAATGATGATTTTGTGCATATGTGGCTCATTACTATCTCTAATAATGTCTTGGGTGTAAATAGATCAGAACATAATCCTTGTAAATATCTAAGATCTGAATACAGTTTTTTTGCTGTTGGAGCTCAGTTTGAACTCATCCAGTAGGATGGGGTGTATATGGTAGGCGGAGCTCATGAAGACTAAAGTAATCTGACTATTAGGATCATTTAGACTGTAGAAATGAAGGGTTAATATCAGATAGTGGTGTTTAAAGAGGTGTGAGCGCATTAGCAGCACTGCCACGGTGGACTGTTTGTGGTTCTTTGTTCTAGAGGGATTCTAGTGAGTTGGGTTAGAGATGCGGTCAGATCTTGTTATCGATAGAACGCCACCATACGCAGCTGATAAGAAACACCCTGCCGGTGTGCCAGGATGTGGTTTGGAGGTGAGCTGCTGAAAACAGCCAGTGAAGAAATATCAGCGATTACTCAGACAGAAATCCTCTGAGGGTCAGGCAGGGGGCGCAAACCACAGAGCGTGGAGCTTAGAGGCGGGTGATGTTATTATCGCAATACATCACACCACAATGCAGTTTCCTCAAAATATCACCGACGGCATCTGGATTTCTAGAACACTGGTCAACCGCATACATCAGTAACAAGGAGTTTGACCATTTATGGACACATTAATGACCATATATGATATTTTAATGTGAACCTGAAATCAAAACTGACATTGCTTCACCTTCTTAGATCATGACCCAGGAGAAATTTATCATATAATGTTATTTAAAAGAGAAGATTCTTGTTTTCCATGACTTTGATTGTGGCACCATGAACCAGCATGCAGGGACAAATAAAATTAACCAATAAATCATCATCACTTTGTTGATTTTCTAAGTGAAAACACATGATAACAAACTTACAAATAGCAGTTTTCACCCAGCTTCAGTGCACAATTTCCATTTCTTTGAGTTCAACTTATTGGAAACAAATAAAACATAAAATAAACTTTTGCACATTTAATTTTAACAGCACTGGTGCATTAAAACACAGAGGTGTGTTCTTTGTAGCGGATGTGTTCACTTATTTACACTAATAAACAGATACAAGCTTTTGCATGCGACAGTAAATATGGAGCAGGAAACCGTTCTAAATAGTGATGTACAGCCGACGAAAGGCTAAAGTGAGATGAACAAAGTTGAACTGAGTTAATTAAAGCAGTTTCTTTTGGAGGAATAATTTGCAGTCAAACATAAGAAATCCAGCCGTATCACAATATGTCACTTTGCAATACTTAGCAGATCATAAATACACACAAACACTGCAATAAAGTCATACTGTGGCTGTTATGGTGATAATACGGTATCGAGGGTCCTGCAGTGATTCCCACCCCTAATAAACATGTCCCAGGTAGCTTATTGTGATGTTGATTTGAATTGGTGACCACCTGAGATGGCATAGCAACAGCTTAGCAACACTTTAGCAACCACCTGGAATACCATAGCAATGTTCTAGGTTGTGATATGGTGTTGCTAGGCCGTTGTTATGCAATCCCAGGTGGTTGCTAAGGTATGGCTGAGCTGTTGCTTTGTTACCCCAGGTGGTTGCTAAAGTGTTGCTGGGAGATTGCTATGCTACCTCAGATGGTTGCTAAGGTGTTGCTAGGTCATTGCTATACTTCCACAGGTGGTTGCTAAGGCATTGCTAAGCTGTTGCTATGCTACCTCAGATGGTTGCTAAGGTGTTGCTAGACTATTGCTATGCAACCTCAGGTAGTTGCTAAGGTGTTGTTAGGCCATTGGTATACAATCCCAGGTGGTTGCTTAGGTATTGCTGAGCTGTTGCTTTGTTACACCAGGTGGTTGCTAAGGCATTGCTAAGCTGTTGCTACGTTATGCGAGGTGGTTGTTGAGGTGGTTGTTAAGGTGCTGCTAGGCCATTGCTATGCTATTTCAGGTGGCTGATAAGGCATTGCTAAGCTGTTGCCATGTTATCCCAGGTGGTTGCTAAAGTGTTGCCAGCCCATGGCTATGCTAACCCAGTTGGTTGCTAAGGTGTTGCTAGGCCATTGCTATGTTATCCCAGGTGGTTGCGAAGGCATTGCTAAGCTGTTGCTAGGCCATTGTTATGCTATCTCAGAAGGTTGATAAGGTGTTAGCAAGCCCATTACTAAGTCATCCCAGGTGGTTGCTAAAGTGTTGCTAGGCCATTGCTATGCTACCTTTGATGGTTGCTCAAGTGTTGCTAGGCCATTGCTATGCTACCTCAGATGATTGCTAAGGTGCTGCTAGGCCACTGCTATGCTATTTCAAGTGGTTGCTAAGGCATTGCTAAGCTGTTGCTTTGTTATACCAGTTGGTTGCTAAGGTGTTGCTAGGCCATTGCTATGCTACCACAGGTGGTTGCTAAAGCATTGCTAAGCTGTTGCTATGCTACCTCAGATGGTTGCTAAGGTGTTGCTAGGCTATTGCTATGCTACCTCAGGTGGTTGCTAAGGCATTGCTAAGCTGTTGCTACGTTATCCCAGGTGGTTGTTCAGGTGTTGCTAGGCCATTGCTATGCTATTTCAAGTGGTTGCTAAGGCATTCCTAAGCTGTTGCTTTGTTATACCAGGTGGTTGCTAAGGTGTTGCTAAGCCATTGCTATGCTACCTCAGATGGTTGCTAAGATGCTGCTAGGTCATTGCTATGCTATCCCAGGTGGTTCCTAAGGTATTGCTAAGTTCTTGCTGTTATCCCAGATGGTTGCTTAGGTGCTGCTAGGCCATTGCTGTGGTATCCCAGGTGGTTGCTAAGGTATTGCTAGGCCGTTGCTATGGTATACCAAGGAGTTGCTAGTGTGTGAGTATATAGGGGTGCCAGTAAGAGTGTGGATTTGTATATCTATGAAGATCAATGTAAAAGGTGTCCATTGTGGATTAATCAATATCATTTCAATATTGAAAAACTAAGCATGTTCCAATATTGGTTTAGTGTTTATTTCTGACCATCAATCAACATCTTTTGACCATATTTCAACGCTGAATCAATCACAACTTGCTTCACTCTGACTCAGAATCTAATAGAAAGAGAAGAGCGAATTCTTTACTCAGTTCAAATTCGTGCCATACAAAAAAAGCGATCCCTCTCAGTTCGCAGGCCTCCAGGACCTCACCTTCATCAGAACATCTGACTGGAGCTCGTCTGCAGCAGCTGGAGCGAAAGAGCTCAGAAAGACTGATGAGGAACCGAATATGTGCGGGTGACGTCATCCAACCCCCCTAAATAACATTACCATAACACGGGTAAACAGCTCTGGAAAACACGCCGCCTTCGCTGGAAGGTCACCAAGGTGTCTTTCGGCTTGTTTTGGAAACGGAACAACATTCCCGCATGACAGACTTTCACACAAGCGCTGGAGGGATTCAGATTAATTACCGTGATTTGCAGCTGAGGGAAGCATTCGAGACCAAATCAACCATTCTGTCTTATTAGATCCAGATTCTGAAAGGTTACTCGGTGTCAAAGGCGGCTCCGTGATTTTTGGCTCGTGTCTGTTGGTGGAGCCACTGTGTGAAGCAATCTAACCATACAGTCATGCAGAGTCAAAGATCCAAAAATAGTTTTTTTGGTAGTAAACCGCATAAATTTGCGTCAATGCCTTAATGTGCTTTTCCAAATAGATCATTTTACATGTGATGAGGTCATAGCTGAGCACTTAGTCTATCTCCAAAATGTCTATCCACAGTCAGTGCCGTGGAGATCTCTTGGTCCTCCTGAGCCGAGGAGTTAAGAGTTGAGATTTAAGCTTCAAATTATATTTGCTGTGAGATTATTTGAACGCTTTGAAGGAGGATAGACACTAAATTATAATTTTCTAGCAGTTTTTCCATCAGGGGGCGCTGTCCATCACCCTAATTAACGCTTACTAATGCTTTGCACTGTAATGATTATGACTATGTCTGAGATACTGTTTTATGATATATATGTTATTAAACTCCATTCATGGTGGAGGGATACATGCAGGGTGTTGTGAGGCAAAATAGTCCCCAACATAGAACAGGACATTACTAGTTACTTCATACACTGCAAAAAAATGGTTTCTAGGCAAGTGAAATTGTCTTAAGTCTAGTTGATATATGTAATGTTTCCCATGCTGTTTTAAGATTATTTAACTTGTGTCTAGACTGTTTTTAACGTATTTTAACTGATTTTATTTAAGCGAAGTTCTCACTATAATCTAAAATCTCACTATACTGGCAGATGATTTAGCGTGTTGTAAGCAATATGAATGATACAAGCAAACATATCTGCCAGTACAGTGAGATAATTTCACTTAGTAAAATCACTTAAAATATGTAAAAAGTGTTTTAAAATAGTCAGATACTCTTTAGAATAAGCTTGACTATATTTAATTCACTTGCCAAGATCCCATTTTTTGCAGTATAATTCATGTGAATTGAACTACACATTTATTCTACATTCATGCCATTTTTTTTTCAAAGTTTCTGCATAATTTAATGGGCTCGGCACTTTATTTGCTCCTTTAATATGAAACAGTTTGATGTGGTATGTAAACATGGTTAAAGTTCTAAAATATAGCATTAACACTTATGAATACGCTGTCTGATGTCTGAGACACTGTTTTACGATACGTAAAAATCCATTCATGGTGGAGGGATACATAATATGCAGGGTACTGTGAGGCAAAATAGTCCCCAAAGAAAACTTATTATTTCAGATTTTCCACTATTTTCCATCATCAACATTCCATATAAACTCAGAAGACTCGTGTAGGTTCACTGGTGGTTCTGGATAGTAAATAAAATGTCTATATTTGTGTTGTAGTCATGGCGACCCCTGGTTCCTATCAGCACCACTGTAAAGACATCTGAACCATTTCACACCAAACCACTCTGAACCTCTCTGATTACATCTCAACCACTGAGTTATGCAGACATTTTGGAAAAAAAAAACAAAGTCAAAAATAGCTGCTTATTTTCTCCAATTTCTGATGTCAGAATAATGTTGTTATGTTCTAAATAATGACTTGTGAATTGTTGAAATAATTGCACTTCCTAAATGAGTAATAACTCATTTTTTGACTTAGTAGGTAAAAATTGTGAGAAAACAATTAATAATTTCAACCAAATGAGTCACAGTTTAAACCCAAACTGAAGTATTAAAAGGTTTCTTTCTTATATCGGTTGTCCAAAAGCATGTGAACCAAACACGTGGTTATATTGCGCTGATCATATGGTAATCATGACATTGCACCTGTGCTCATTTGCATAGTAGTTATAGAAAGCACACCTGATCTGGCTTCTCCAATCAGCACAATGCTTCAGTAGACCGTCTGCAGTTGGCGCCTCTTTTAGGAAATCCGCCTCTGTGTATCCAAAAGTGTGTGGACACCAGTTTATCTGGCATTAACAGCCTCTACTCTACTGAGAAGGCTTTAATCTAGATGTTTTTCGCATTGCTGTGAGGATTTGATTGAGCATTAGTGAGGTCAGGTACTGATGTTGGATGATCAGATCTGTAAAGGTATTGATGGAGCTCCATCACTCCAGAGAACACAGCTCCACTGCTCCACAGCCCAGTGCTGGGGGGCTTTATACCCCTCTAGCCCACGCTGGGCACTGGTCATTGTGACCTTAGACTCATGTGCAGCCATTCTATTGGTTGGTGCTTTTCTATGGATGGGTGACCTCACAGTAGCTGAATTCACTCAGCAGAAGGGCTACACATAAATGCACGTAGGAGCACAGATACTGCAATGATAATTTATTTTGGCAGATTAAAAACATTAGTTCCGCTCAAAGACGCGGTCATGATGAAGTAATCTATAAACATACTTACAGCCTTGCGTTCTGAATTTCAACACAGCCAATACTGTAGCTCCTCATATTGCCTTATCTGAGCAACATACCATGAACAAATATAAACTCGTACATAAAGGGAGTGATATGACATTAATAATGCACTTGTTATGGCAGGTGTATGAGACGGCAGGACGTGGTCATCCGGGTCTGCTGTCCGTGTGAGGGCCCGTCTGAAAAGCCCTGATGTCCTCACCGATGAACTCATTTACTGCAGGGGAAGGAGAATGCTAAAATTAATTCAGTAATCAATACTGATTTGATAAATCAGCTACTGATCATGGGACACAATAGCAAATTTCAATACTGAAGTATTAAGCAGCTGTTTCAAAATCTAGACTGCTGGTTGGCTGTCTAAAGCTACGTTTACATTACAAGCCTCGCTGCTCAAATCTGATTTTTTGCTCAAATCCGATCTCTCTGACTCGATGCTTCACACTCGTTTAGGTAAGTGACTCAAATCTGTCATTAATGTGACGAACCGGCGTCCTGAAATGACCCTCATGAGCTCATCCTACTCAGTAACGTCACGTGAATGAATCACGATCATCATCAGCACAAACTAACGAGCAGAACGAGCTTCGCTGAGAAGATCATTAACTCTGATCAGCTCTCAGCTTCATTATTAGAGCGAGACGAAGGAGAAAAAGGTGAGATGAGCTGCTTTTCCACCGTTTACAGGCTTTAACTTCTGTTTGGCGCTGCTGCCATGGTAACGCTGAATGATGGCGCAGTGGGGAAAAAGCACATGAATTCAGATCTGAGCGCCACATTAAGGTCACATGGCCACGAATCAGATACGTATCCGATCTAGGACCACATATGAAAGTGGCTCAGATCGGATTTGAAAATATCAGATTTGAGCCACTTCAGCCTGGTAATGTGAACGCAGCCTAAATTACAGTCTGTATGCATGTTTTTAACGTCAGCTGTTTTTAAAAAGTCTATGGTCAGTAAATACATCCAGGTCCAGCATCTAACACTCAATACTGGTTTAAGAAACACTTACAACAGCTTCGTTAACAGGGTTGGGATGTATCGGAATACCAGTATTGGGACTATATATTCAGAATACAGAAATGAAGTATCTGTATTCAGTCACAAGTTACATTTTCTAAAGGCCGTTTTCAGAACACAGTTACTTTTTACAAGTTTAGGAGAATCCTTTCAGAATATTTACTCACTAAATTTAAAACATGCATACCATCTTTAAAAGAAACACCATCAATGCTTGTTAATTAGCTACTTTAAAATCAGTGCACAGCGTGTTAAAATCAGTTCCTACTAAAGCCTGAGTAGACTGATAAACCAATGGGGGTTCTAAGTTATTAAACCCTTTAAATGGCCAGAGTTTCACTACACACTTATATAACCGAAGAATAACTCAGGCAGTTTGCACTGTCATCTAGTACATCATAAACCTGGGATTTTAAGGGGTTAATCTCAGTCTTATTAGTTCTGTAAGCCACAGCCTATCATGTCTGATCTGTTCAGCTGTATTGCTGCTGTTTTATTCTATTCTGGATTGTACTTTGCCAAGTATTTACAGATGTTCTGTGAACTAGATCAGATTTGGTGATTAGGCTACTGGAAAACCGCTGCTAAAATAACATCTGTTGTGCTTCGTAATACTGATCTCATAACAAGATCAGACTAAAATATGCACCACTAAAGTGGGGGAACAGTAGACATGGAAATTTTATAAATCACCACATCTCAAAATTTCAAAATGACTTTGTTTAAGGAGAACTCCATTAATTTTTCTAAATTTCTACATAAACGGTTAAGATGTAAACAGAGTCATTCAGAGTGGTTTGGTGTAAAACGCTCTGTTCTAGATAAACTTACAGAGTCAGAACTGTTCACAGTGGTGGTGATAGGAACCAGACGTCCACCTCTAAAAGCTCCCTCACAGAAAGTTCCTACATGAAATGGTTATGAATTCACTGCCTGATGACTGAGACACTGTTTTATGGTAGTTTAGAGAACTTAAACTCCATTCATGGTGGAGGGATACATGCAGGGCGCTGTGAGGCAAAATAGTCCCCAAAGAAAACTTATAATTTCAGATTTTCCACTATTTTCCATCATCAACATTCCATATAGACTCAGAAGACTCGTGTAGGTTCACTGGTGGTTCTGGATAGTAAATAAAATGTCTATATCTGTGTTGTAGTCATGGCGACCCCTGGTTCCTATCACCACCACTGTAAAGACATCTGAACCATTTCACACCAAACCACCGCAACAAAAGAATTATGCAAAAATATTTAAAAATTGCTGGAATTCCCCTTTAAAAGAAGGTACTGAAAAAAGTATCATACAGAAACTGGTCCTGTGATCAGGGTAGTCATTACTGGTATTGAGAACAAAACCCAGCCCAACAGATAATAATTTATTGTTATAATCACTTATAATAGATCCTAACATTCAAACTGGACGCAGCTGATTCTCCACCTTCAGACTGATGCATCTCAGTGCATCAGTGCATTTTTACACCCACAATATCAATGCAGTGCAGTCTGAACAGAGTGCTGAGTGCGACCCACCTTCTTCTAGTGTGATGTTGTGCATTGGCGGAGCTCCACTGAAGCCCAGCTGCCCCTCCTGCCCCTCCGTGTCCTCTGGGAGGGGAGCTTGGTGCTCCCAGCCCTCGTACGGAGGGTAGGGGCACATTTCCTGAGGGTAAGGGGGGCAGTGTGGGTAGGGGGAGTGTGGGAGAGGGGGCAGGGGGGAGGTGGAGATGGGGCTGCTGGCAGGGAAGGGGCTCAGAGAGGAGGAGTGAGAGGGGGAGGGGGAGGAGGACAGGTACGGGGAGTCCAGCCAGGGGGAGGGGGAGGGTGGGGCGGGCGAGGAGGATCGCTGGACCCCCCGCGGGGGGTATAGAGGGGGTAAAAGCTCAGTGAAGCCCAGCTCCAGGCTTTCGAAGCTGGGGTTCCGCTCGTTTAGAGCCCCGTGGCTTCTGGAGCCGTCCTCCGGACCTTCGGGTTTGGGGCAGTAATCGTCCTGGTACCCCTGGGGGGCGTAGGAGAACTCGCTGGGATACGGGGGCAGCTGGAACGAGGCAAGTCTGTCATCGGCCAGAGAACGGTCCCTCACAGGGCAGTGAGTCACCCCCTCTAAGGGTAAGAGAGAGGGGCGGGGCAACAGGGGGTCCTCCTCTTTGAACATGACTGAGAGAAAAGGAGAGGAGAAATAAATGATGGGAAATAATAACGTCCTACTAATGTATATTTTATATCTACAGTTGTTTTTATAATAAAACAAATAATCAATACAGTCCAGTATTTACTGCTGTCACCCAATGCCAAGTTTATAATCAATCCTTCGTTAAATTAAATCAGGAGCTGCTGAGGGAATCGAACAAATCCATGCGATGGCTGGAGAGCAGCGAGAATTCAGGATCCAAACCTGGATTCTTCTCACTAACTGTATTTTACTAACCTCTACATTTATAACTTTACTGACGAACAGCACATCATTGACTACTTTTGTAATATACACACTTGAGAGGCCGTGCTACTGTGATTTTATCAGGGGAAGGGTGTTCTCCTCCTTCCCCGTGATAAAATCACTGTAATGCACGGCCTCAGGTGGCTTATTGCTTTTATAAAACACCAGCCAACATAAAATATGACAAAATACACAATTTTTCAGAAAATAATTCAAGTTATTATTAATAATAATTGACATAAACAAGTATTCCACAGTCCCATTGTCAAGCAACCATGGACTGCTAAATGAGGAGAACGCTCGGTCGCCCATCACTGTACACTGCGGCCATTTCATTATTTTTTTTTTTACTTATTGTTGTATAACAATGATCATATGATAACACAGCACTGTTGGCGCCACTGTTCAAGTACTTTTTGGTCACCAAATTACCACCATGAGTCTTATTTAGCACCAATCCAGTGGCGCCCTCCTCTCACACCGGGCTGAATCTCAAACGGCTCCCTGCTCCCTACATAGTGCACTACAAAGGAGTTTAACCCTAAATGACTATCATTTAGGACTCTGTTTAGGGTTCAGAGCCATTTGGGGTTCAGTCTGCGTTTGATGCTGCTTCTGACTGAAACAGACGTTTGAAGTGTGTAAGACGTTCAAGTAACATTCTTTAGTCTTTTATGCTGCCATTTTACAGTTAATCATGCTGTAAGAGTTTTAATTCAAGCCTGTGATATCAATGATGGAGCTGTTTAGCATGTTAGCTGTCTTTTAGCCTGTTAGCTAGCTGACAAGCCTAGTTCTAGATAAGAACATAAGTTGTCAGCCCCTCAGTTTAAACCAGGTTCTTGATTCATTAATATACTCAGTGCTCCATGCGAGCAGCAAGATTATTCTGTTGACAGCACAAGGGTTTTTTGTGCCGTGGCGCAGTGATACAGGTGTGCGTATATCGTGGATTTTACAACAGCTTCAAATGTGGCTCAACCAATCAGATTCTAGGACTGGAACTAACCATTTCATTCATATATATGTATATATATATATATATATATATATAGGGTAGTCAAACTTCTGCATATGACTGTGTTGGGGATGTGAGTTGAAATAATTAATTATATTAGTCATATTTGCTTAAAATTGACCATAAACTGAAAACTCTGTGTGTGTGTGTAACTCTATGTGTGTGTGTGTGTGTGTGTGTGTGTGCGTGTGTGTGTGTGTGTGTGTGTCACTCACTGGGCAGGTATTTGAAGCAGTGTGTGCTGCTCCTCTTGCGCTTCCCGTTGGAGACGTACAGACAGACAGAAACGGGCTGATTCACTGAGAGGTCACTGTAGGCTGGCACTCGCACACACAGCCCACACTAACACACAAAACACACGTCATTTATCCACTTCATTAAGTCCACCTCCTTGTTTCTACACTCACTGTCCACTTTATCAGCTCCACTGACCACATAGTTTCACTCTGTAGTTCTACAGTTACAGACTGTAGTCCATCTGTTTCTCTGCATACTTTGTTACCCTGTTCTTCAGTGGTCAGGAGGTGGTGGTGGTGTGTTAGTGTGTGTTGCGCTGGTCTGAGTGGATCAGTAAGGTAGGTCTAACTCTTAGCATGTTATTCATATACATACTGTATACATTAAAACACGTAAAACACACGTGAGACACTATCGTCACTGTCAGGACAAAATTTTCTTTCATTTTTTGGACATTATTTGAAGTCGCCAGCTGCCCTTTAACTTGTTTCAAAATTTCATGATGAAAGCACCAACAGAAATGGTCGGAAATTACTTGGAATAAATTATTTCTCTTTTTATTTCCATTAAAATCTAAGAACGCTTTTTTGGTATTATATTAACATCATCATTATTAGTGATTATTATACTTAAATAATGTATTAAGATGTCACACCTGGTTTGCTTTGCTTTGTTTGTGTTTTATTGATTCAATTTACAATTGATTTCCATATTGACATCTGATAGTCTGTATTTTGATACCTCTAAAAATCAACAAACAATGGTTGAAATTATTTTTTTTAATAATTAAAAATTACGAAATTTTTCTTTGTCCTGTAAAGATGAAAGGTTTGTTTGGACAGCGATGATATACTGTATACATACATGCGTTTGAGAAATACACACTATTTACGCACATGCTGTACACACAGACAGACCACACACACACAGACAGACAGGCAAACGCATGAGAAACCCACACTGCGTAAGTGTGGTTTGTGTACCTCAGTGCTTTTGTCTCGGTCCACGTGAGCCTCTTCCTCCCACTGCAGTTTACCATCTACACAACAAAGCAGCTTCATCAGAGCAGTGAACGAGTTTTAGAAAATTTGTTTTCAGATAAACGTATGAAATAAATTCTATAAGTCAACCCTTTAAAATAATCAGTAGCTGTAAATAAAAATGTGTTAGATGGGTTCAGAGTGATGAGTGATGATCTGTAGAAGAGTCTAAAACGACTGTGAAAGCTAATTACAATTAAACCAATATCAAGATTTCTTCACACACACACACACACACACACACACACACACACACACACACGCACACACACACACACGCACACACAGCTGAAAACACTGCTGAGCTAGTTTGAGTTTAATGTGAGACCAAATATTCTCTACAGGGTTTAAATCTGGACTCTGACCAGCCAGAACCGTCAGTAACAACCATTATACTAGCAAATAGATAACTGTCTATTAATAATCATGTAATAAAGTGTTTACAGAATTGTTGAAATATTGAATAATACACCTAAAATAAATTGCATCTAAAATCTAAAAACAAATATCTGAAATAGATATAGTTTGTAATAATTAAATAATTCCAATAATTCCACACTGCGTTAGTCAATACTATATATATTACAAACTGGTTAATATGGGAAGTGATTACAAACGGTCCTGTAATTATTAGCTGTAATTTCAATGTAATACCAATAATAATACTTTCATTTTCCCAATTATCTGCAAATAACACTTTTACAAAAGACATACTGTGCACAGCTTACTAATGATTTATAAACACATTATTTAAGCAAACACTCATTTACATAATTAACATACACACATTAGACATTGGCACATTAGAGAGACCTAATGAGACCCATCACACTGCCGTAAACACGTAAATGGCACTGACCAGAGCCTCTCTCCATAAACACCACTTTAGAGGCAGGCAGGAAGTTGGTCCCACGCACGAGAAGCTCCTCCCCACCCTCCACAGAGCAGGACGACAGACTGATGGACTCGACCACGGGCAGCTCCTGAGCAGAACGCTGGGCTGGGCGTAGGAAGGGCATCGGGAAAACACAATACGACAAAAAATAACTTCACCAACTTGAAACTGAGCCTAAAGTACTGCAGTAACACAACACCTACATTTAGAGTCGGTTATTCATTCAGCCTAATGAGAAACTGTAGAACAGACTCAGTTTATATCACAATACCTACATTTAGAGTCAGTTATTCATTCAGCCTAATGAGAAACTGTAGAACAGACACAGTTTATATCACAATACCTACATTTAGAGTCAGTTATTCATTCAGCCTAATGAGAAACTGTAGAACAGACTCAGTTTATATCACAATACCTACATTTAGAGTCGGTTATTCATTCAGCCTAATGAGAAACTGTAGAACAGACTCAGTTTATATCACAATACCTACATTTAGAGTCAGTTATTCATTCAGCCTAATGAGAAACTGTAGAACAGACTCAGTTTATATCACAATACCTACATTTAGAGTCGGTTATTCATTCAGCCTAATGAGAAACTGTAGAACAGACTCAGTTTATATCACAATACCTACATTTAGAGTCGGTTATTCATTCAGCCTAATGAGAAACTGTAGAACAGACTCGCCAGATTGTTTAGCCGATTTACCCCCCAACCTTGTCTAAGACCCTCCTAAAATGACATTCTGGTTATACCACTGGCACACAGAGAGCAATTTCTGTAGCCCATCTGTTGCTGTAGGTCAGTCTCCCTCTACTCTGCTTGTCACTGGTCAGTTTCTGACCACAGGGCCACTGTTGTCCAGATGTTATTTGGGTGGTGGTCCATTCTCGGCACAGCAGTGTCACTGAGATGGTAGTGTGTGTGGTGCTGGTCCGAGTGTATTAGTCACAGCTGTGTTTCTGATTCATAGTCAAAGTCACTGCTAGGTTGAGAGTGGACCTCCATAAATATATATAGAGAAGAAACTGACCACTGATGAAGGACTCAGTGGTTCCCAAACTTTTTACAGTCCTGTACCCCCTCAGACCCCTGTGTTTTGAGGTCATTCTGTCTCCATTTGTCCATCTCTGCTTAAACTAAAGTCTCTTCATATATCATGATCCTCATATGTTTCATATCTAAATGCTCCGTTATCTTCATCACTACTTTCCAAAACCGCTGCAGCAGCTTCAGCAGCTGTAAACTCTCTGCACGCCGTTTCACATGAGTCTCCGATGTGGACTGAATGAAGAATGAAGGGTTTCCGGCGTGATGGTCAGTCCTTAGTGATTTCCTGAGTGTCCATTGGTCAGTTTCACACAGAATGTAGACGGACACACCAATCCACCAGTTCCACACGATGACGTGTATCTCAGCCCCTCTTCATAGGCTCATAACTCCAGATGTGAGTCAAATATGATCTAGTGAGATATATATATATATATATACACACACTATATGGATAAAAGTATTGGGACACCTACAGGAGCTTTTATGACTCCCATTCTAAATCCATAGGCATTAATATGGAGTTGTTCCCCCTTTGCAGCTCTAACAGCTTCCACTCTTCTGGGAAGCTTCTACAAGATGTTGGAGAGTCTGTGGGAATTTCTGTCCATTCATCCAGAAGACCATTTGTGAGGTCAGACACTGATGCTAGACGAGAGGGTCTGACTCACAATCTCCATTCTAGTTCATCCCAAAGGTGTTGGATGGGGTTGAGGTCAGGGCTCTGTGAGGGTCAGTCAAGTTCTTCCAGACCAAACTCACCCAGCCAGGCCTTTATGGAGCTGCTTTGGTCACTGGGGCTCAGTCATGCTGGAACAGGAAAGGTTCTTCCCCAAACTGTTCACACAAAGTTGGAAGCTACAATTGTCCAGAATGTCTTGGTGCTGAAGCTTTAAGATTTCCCTTCACTGGAACTAAGGGTTCTAGACCAACCCCTGAAAAACAGCCCCATATCATCATCCCTCCTCCACCAAACTCTACAGCTGACACAGTGCAGTCAGGCAGGTAACGTTCTCCTGGCATTCGCCAAACCCAGACTCGTCCATCAGACTGACGGATAGAGAAGCTGATTCATCACTACACAGAACACGTTTCCACTGCTGCAGAGTCCAGTGGCGGCACTTTACACAACTTTTCCTTATATATACATTTATATATATACGCTGACCACAGCAGCTACAAACTAATGACTCAGTAAAACTAACTCGAGTACACGACTATCAAGGATCATACAGGACATAAGAACGGTCAGTAAAGGACTTCATTCATGATACACTGAATTAACGTTACTGTTATTAGCTTCTTCTAAATCATGCGACGCTCCAAATGTGCCGGAGTGAAACACTTTCTTCTCCAACACAACCTTTTTTAATAAAACAACAAAACACTATCAGAGCGAGTCTGCCATCTGCTGGATGCTGCTTGTGTTGCCGTATCAGGGAAGTACATATCTAACTGTATAATTGTGTGTCCAGCTGATTGAATGAAATTAAATGGAGATTAAAGTCATTTTGACGTACCCCCAAATTGTACCACAGTTTGGGAACCACTGGACTAGAGGATTCGCATCAACACATCTAAAGTCTCACTGTACACCAGCAAGGTGGATGGGTTTCAGATAAAGTGGCCAGGGAATGTACAACTACAGCAAGGTGAAGTGTGCTGATTGGCTGTACTCACAGCACTCTATGGGCAGAGAGGCCACCTGCAGCGCTAAAACCCGCCCAGGAGGGGCGATGGGCGGGGCCAGAGGGAGATGCGTGCGGAAAACCAAACGCACGCGCGTGTTCTTCCTCCCGACGTCCGTCTCTCCTTTCCTGAGCTCAATGTCAGAGTTCCTCAGCTTCAGGATCCCTGCACAGTCAATACTGAGAGGAGAGAGATAATTACACACACACACACACACACACACACACACACACACACACACACACACAGGAGATAATTACACACACTTCCACATGCATCCGGTACTCTCTGCACTTCAGCCTCCCGACCGCATGAAAACTGAGGCTGTGACTGAAACAGATCACTGGTTCACATTTAGGACTTTTAACTGATCTTAGACTTTAGACTAAAACCCTTTTGCTCTGAGTGACTCTAAACCTTGATTATGTTTATTTTATTAAAACTAATGATTAAACATTCCATTTTCTCACTACCAAAACAATCATAACTCTACCAAACTTTACTAAATGTGTCAGTAGTGACTGTTTCAGTGACAATTTTAGCTCATTTTGAGCTCAGAAACTCAGCAAACACAGCTTTGAACAGCTGTTCACACAGAAAATCATCATATTCTACATTAAAACACTAAAAAGTGCTGAACTGCAGAAAATAAGACGATTCTTAATGTTCCACACTGATTTTCAGACTTTGGGACTCATTTACTTCAAAACAATGGGATCTAACTGCTCACCATGTGGCCATGAGGGACAGGGATGCAGCCTCACTTCCTGCTCTAAAATGCAGGGGCGTGGCTAAAATAAGGCCCTGCCTACAGACTAAAACTCTGTTTCGGTAGTGACATAAAAACGTGGGACAGCATTTTTTAATGCTTTTCTTCAGTTTAAAATCAAACACATTGAAAATAAAGGTAAAAATGAAAAAGTATTTATCTGAGAAACTGAACAGTGCTCGGAGTCGCGGAGCGCCGCTGCGCGTTAGCATGCTGTGTCGGCGCTGGTGTGCATACCTCCATAATAATAACTGATAACCGATAACTGCAGAAAATCAGATTTTGTCAGTAATCTGATCAACGCGTTTACATGCTCTTGAGTAATACTGTAACACTGCTACTGTAACACTGCAATGCAAGTCCTATGTACCTGCCTGTCTGTCTATCTATCTGTCTATCTTTCTGTCTGCCTGCCTGCCTGCCTGTCTGTCTATCTATCTATCAATCTGTCTGTCTGTTTATCTTTCTGTCTGCCTGTCTGTCTATCTATCTATCTATCTATCAATCTGCCTGTCTGTCTGTCTATCTTTCTGTCTACCTGCCTGTCTGTCTATCTATCTATCAATCTGTCTGTCTGTCTGTCTGTCTATCTATCTATCTATCAATCTGTCTGTCTGTCTATCTATCTGTCTATCTTTCTGTCTACCTGCCTGTCTGTCTGTCTGTCTATCTATCTATCAATCTGTCTGTCTGTCTATCTTTCTGTCTGCCTGCCTGTCTGTCTATCTATCTATCTATCTATCTGTCTATCTATCTATCTTTCTGTCTGCCTGCTTGTCTGTCTGTCTGTCTATCTATCTATCTATCAATCTGTCTGTCTATCTATCTATCTATCTGTCTGCCTGTCTATCTATCTATCTTCCTATCTGTCTGTCTGTCTCTGTTTATCTATCTATCTATCTATCTATCTATCTATCTGTCTGTCTGTCTGTCTATTTGTCTATCTATCTGTCTATTTGTCTATCTATCTATCTGTCTATCTGTCTGTCTATCTGTCTGTCTGTCTGTCTGTCTGTCTATCTATCTAACAGTATGTCAGAATGGTTGATCCCCTCTTGTTTGGGATAAAGAGAAAAATGTGATTTTTTCAGAAACGTCTTCAATTGAGCGTCTGGATGTTCCTCACAGTGCAGTCATGTTGTTCTCCGGGTTTAAGGGGATGTCCAGCAGTTTGGTGCCGGCCTGCATGCTCTCCTGACTCGCCGTGCCCACCATCTTCCCCGTCACCCTGAGAAACGGACACATTACACACTGCAGTTCATCACTCATCATCCCACTTACAACATCCTTTTATGTCAAGTCTGTTGTTGCTGATATCGCTTATAATATTTTGATTGTAGTACGAGTCGCATTGGTGAAAGAAACTCAAGAACACAGACACACTTTCTGAACACTTTTCTACACTTTCAGACGACAGTCAGCTCCTTCTGTTTCTACTTGTCTCGCTTTCAAATTCAACCAATAAATAAAAACTTACGCTGACAAAAAGAAAATTTCCACACAAAGTATAATTTTATTAATCTTGCACTAAGCAGTATTTTGAGAATTTGAACAGATGAGTTCAGAGAGGAGATGATGGTGGTACCTGTGTATCTGATAGAACGGATGAGGCCGAATTGATCTGTCGTCAGCCGTTCCCACAAACACCTGTAAAGAGAGGGGCTGCCGCTCTGTGTATCCCACCAGCTGCAGGAGAAAACAGCAAGAATCAGCTATTAACAGGACCCTCACAGAGCAGGACCTCCAGCAGCACTGCTGTGTCTGATCCACTCATACCAGCACAACACACACTAACACACCACCACCACGTCAGTGTTACTGCAGTGCTGAGAATGATCCACCACCCAAATAGTACCTGCTCTGTGAGGGTCCATGGGGGTCCTGACCACTGAAGAACAGAACTAATGTTATGCCTGATCGGTGTGTGTGTGTGTGTGTGTGTATAATGTCGCTGTCCAAAAATAAAAGTCACAACTTGTGACAACTTCATGATGATTGGACCAATAGAAATGCTAGAATGGAAATGCAAGAATGGAAATGTTAAACCTAACCAGTAAGATTTGGTTCTGTATCTCAGCCCTGCTCGAAACGTTTTAGCTCACTGATATGAAAACGAAAGAAAATGAGCAGCTCTATCTGAAAGATTTCCAGATCTTGCTGTCAGTTCCACACTTCCCCTCACCTGCCATGTCTTAATTACATGAAAATTACAATGGAAATTGTTCTGATATCTTTTTACAGCCTTCCCTTATAATGTAAGTACAAATTAGCATCAAGAACCTCAGCCAGTTGCTTAGAGGAGCCCCTGGTTGTTGAGTGTTGGCACAGGGATTCGAAGAGTCAGAGAATTTATTCTCTGACTCTGGAATTATCATCAGCTGATTACTCCTATTGACAATTTTTGATGTGCCTCACCAGCCATAACGAGTCAATTAAGGCCTAACGTGTTAACGTGTTTACTTTTTTCCGGTCAGTGTGCTTAAACGTTTGCATACAGCTGTATGTGTATGATTTGTACAGTTCCATTGTTGCTATTAACTCCACAGTTTCCATCTGGATTAATACAGTTTTCATTTATTCATCTATGTATCTAAGATAGAGCTGAGCAGTCTGACCTTCACTACAGGATGTCCTCCCGGCGATGCCTTCACGGCCCCTCGACTTCCCTCCGTTTCGTAGTGGGCGCGGTGATGAGGCCGTGGCTGCACCTCGATCCGCAGCTCATACTGGTCAAACTGGCACGGCAGGGGCCAGTCCAGTGGTGGCAGCGCATTAGACCTGAGACAGAATAACACAGGAGCGCAGGAGCGCAGGGGTTAACAGCCCCACTTACAATGGCTGACACATGTTTCAGCTGCATACTGTTTGTGTTTGTATGTTTGCATAAGAGCTGAACAATTGATCATCTTTACACTGAAATCACAATTTAAAGAGCGCAATTTTCAAAAACTGCAATTTATTATTTTTGTGCTTATTTGGACTCCTGGCCATGGATGACCATAGCATCACTGGGGACTGAACTCATGGTCTACCTGAGGATAGGAGCAATGATGGTTGCGCCACTCGAGAGCCCAATGCAACCAAAACCCTTCCTAGTACAAGCGAAACCCCTCCCAGTACAACCTAAACCCCTCTCAGTACAACCGAAACCCCTCCTAGTACAACCTAAACTCCTCCTAGTACAAGCACAACCCCTGCCAGTACAACCAAAACTCCTACCAGTACAACCAAAACCCCTCCCAGTACAACCAAAAGTCCTTCCCATACAACCAAAACCCCTCCCAGTACAACCAAAAGTCCTTCCCATACAACCAAAACCCCTCCCAGTACAACCAAAACCACTCCCAGTACAACCAAAAGTCCTTCCCACACAACCAAAACTCCTCCCAGTAGAACCAAAACTCCTCCCAGTACAACCAAAACCCCTTTCAGTACAACCAAAACCCCTCCCAGTACAACCACAACCCCTCCCAGTACAACCAAAACCCCTCTCAGTACAACCAAAACCCCTCCCAGTACAACCACAACCCCTCCCAGTACAACTGAAACTCCTCCCAATGCAGTGCGTCACTGGGCTTGTGATCCGGGCTGTGAGGAAGATGATCATGAAGGACACTCTTGGTTGGGGACAAAACAAAATGCTTAATATCAAAATGGACAGACACAACTGTACAAAACACACTGCAGACGACTTAATAAACAATTAGTAATTGGTTGCTGTGTAACGAGCTGATTTGCATATTCTGTCCCACACAGCAATCGGATTTCAGTCTGACTAACCAGAAACTTTATTGATCCCGAAGGGAAATTGCAGTGTTTTAGTAGCAACACATACAATTGCACACAAACTTACATAAACTATGCAGAAAAATAGAAAATAGAAATAAATCTAGACAGAAGTTAAAGTACAAGAGAAATAAAATAAAAGTATATCTATTTGCAAATTTACATGACATATAAGACAGACTTTGTTGTATTTACATGGCAGCAGGCACTGAGTGGTATGAGGTCTAAAAGCACAATGATTATAGACATAACTGACTCTGAGTTGCATCAATATTACAGTGTAAAGTGTGCAGTGAGAGTCATTACAGTAGCAGTTATGATATATTGCACAGTGTGTATTATGTGTATTATATATACAGTATGCATGTGGCTAAAATCTTATCAGGATACAATCCAGATAGTGGACACAGGAAGAGACCAGGTGTGAATGGAGCCTTAGTGGGTGAAACACAGACAGGATCATTTTGGCCTCCTACAGTTGTCTTCTCCAACTAGCACACCTGACCGATCCTGACGAGGAACTAACCCTAGTTCAGTTTAGATATTTTGTGAAGAACTGATAGAACAAGTCTTCAGCAGAACCACAACTACTCTTAAAAAATACAGCTGTTCAAGAGTTCTTTCATAAAGACAATGGTTCTATACAGAACCAGGAACACTCACAAAACCATTTGCATGTTTAAGTGGTTCTCTGCATGGTGAAATTGTCCTTCAGATTGATGGAGGATGTTTCATATATGGACCCTTTTTGAAAAGGGTTCTTTATAGCACAAAAAGGGTTACGATGTCAAGCTTCACTCTTAGCAAAAAGGGTTCTATATAGGGTTTTTTGGCTTGTGACAAGAAGGGAAGACTTTTTGGTGCTATATAGAACCCTTTTTATAAAGGTTCTTTATAGAACCATCTACGCCACATTCTCCATCAATCTGAAGAACCATTTCAGGATGCAAAGAACCCTTGAATCATGCAAAGGGTTCTTTGGGTATTCATGGTTCTAAGTAGAACTATTTTCTTTACCCTTAAGGAATCCTCTTTTTAAAGAGCATTGTAGCCCTTTTTGGTGCTATATAGAACCATCAATCTAAAGAACCGCTGAAGAACCATCTTTTTAAAGCGCATTTTAACAACAGAAGAATGCTTTTTGGTGCTATATAGAACCATCAAGCTGAAGAACCCCTGAAAAGCCATCTTTTTAAAGAGTGTTTTAACAATTTTTGGTGCAGATGGAACCACGACTATATACAGCCGTATATAACGTTAGTCGATATTATGGGCTATCAGAAATTTAAGCCCCCTAAAATCAGTATCAGAATAACTTTGATCCAACAAACTACAGACCAGGCCTGTATCACTCCTTTGATTTCCGCTCTAAACCACAGGCTGCACTGGCACAACTATCTTCTCATCTCGAGGGGAACAACCTCCTACTGGACGCAAACCAGTCCGGATACAGGCCTGGACGCGCAACAGAGAACGCCTTCCTGTCAGTCAGAGACGCTCTCCACAAAGACAGGGAGAACTCTATGATCACAGTCCTTATCCTCCGTGACCCGCGGATGCCTTTCAACACTGCGAACCACCAGATGCTTATTTCAACACTCGAGCATCTGCAGCTCTGCTCTGGAAAGGCTGTTCTTCAGCGCCCCGGAACCTCGCTACCGGAGTTCCTCAGGGGTCACTTCTTGGTCCAATACTGTTCTCCCTTTATACAAAACTTTACGTGGGTATCCTTTCCACCGCTGCACAGATGACACCCAGCTGTACTTGACTCATCCAGTCACGTCCCAGATCTTACAGAAAACATCGCTCTGCCTCTCTGATTGCTCTTTCCGGAGGGCTACCGTGACCTGAAACAGGGCAGAGTTTACCTGCCTGTAGCGCACTCTCCAGCTCTGGACCTCTCCATCAGCTTGGACTGAGCCTTCACTACACATCTTTTAAAATCTTAACAGATTTCTAAAACGGAGAGCAGCACAAACTTAGTTTGTCACAGAGTTTCTTGTCTTGAGAGAGAATAACACACACAATGAGTTTGTGCTGCGAATAAGAACTCAAACTCCCAGATCTAAGCTATAAAGAGAGAGACGTGACGTCTGGATCACCATCATAAACATGATATCGGCTCTTAGGCTACGTTCACATTACCAGGCTGAGGTGGCACAAAGATTTTTTTACGTGACTTTTACGTGACCTAACGTGACGTGGTTTGATGTTTTCAGAGCTGTGAGGACAAACAAATCAGATCTTTTCAAATCCAACCTGAGCCACTTTCATATGTGGTCCTAGATCGGATACGTATCCGATTCGTGATCATACGACCTTAATGTGGCGCTCAGATCAGAATTCATGTGCTTTTTCTCCACTGCGCTGCGCCATCATTCAGCGTTACCATGGCAGCAGCGCCAAACAGAAGTTAAAGCCTGTAAACGGTGGAAAAGCAGCTCATCTCACCTTTTTCTCCTTCGTCTCACTCTAATAATGAAGCTGAGAGCTGATCAGAGTTAATGATCTTCTCAGCGAAGCTCGTTCTGCTCGTTAGTTTGTGCTGATGATGAACGTGATTCATTCACGTGACGTTACTGAGTAGGATGAGCTCATGAGGGTCATTTCAGGACGCCGGTTCATCACATTAATGACAGATTTGAATCACTTACCTGAACGAGTGTGAACCATCGAGTCAGAGAGATCGGATTAGAGCAAAGAATCAGATTTGAGCAACGAGGCTTGTAATGTGAACGTAGCTTTATTTGCCCGTGTGCTCCACTGTTCAGGCAGTGTTCATGCATGGCTCTTCAACTGTTTCTCCGCTCTTCCAGCTCTCTGATTGGCTGTTTGAATCCCTAAATGAGCTCATCTCCGACCGTCTCTCACTGCAGGACTCGTGAACGTTTTGAGTCGTAAATATTACATGTTTGATCATATCTGAGGGTCTCTGATCCCTCCAGATTTCGATCTGATCGGGGGGCTAAAGATTTACTCATTTCTCCTCTCACACTACAGATCATCCGCACCGTCAGTCGCTTCTGATCGAGCTCCCGACCTGGAGAATCACTCCCGATTGTGAAAACTTGTCACGAGGGGCAAATCGAGGTTAAAACTGGGCAAAAAATCGTGTAGTGTTGGACCAGCCTTAGACCTTCTTGCTGTCTGTCTGTCCTCCAGGGCTTTGAAGCACTGAAGCAAAGTGATCCTTGACTTAAATTCTCCCATCACAGCACTTCCACCATCAGATCCAGCAGACTTCTACATCACCTCACTAAAAACATGGCCCTGCCTTACGTCAGACACGGCTCAACTTCCTGTTCAAGACACAGGCTGGATTTACACAGTGAAACTGTCATGCAACTTGCATGTTGTGAGCTGCCTGCAACAAAATTTCCATGCAACTTGACAGTTGCAGGTCAAAAACAAATTTGCACGAAGAGCCGTGCAACATGACGATATTTATCTTTATCGCGATAAATTGCATCACAAAACGTAACATGAAAAAATGCTCCTCTGGGTGTATCATAGATGTCGTCAGTACAAAACACCTCCCAACTGCTGATTTGATTAAAAAGAGAGCATCAGTAGCTGTGTTTAATTGGATGTAGTGTAGCATTGCATGTAAAATGTTCAACTCATAGTTTTTGATAGAATCTTTTAATGTTGCACTACTTTGTGTGTTCCAACTTATCAGATGTCAGAAAAAATAAATATTGTGACATAGTGTCGTGTACAGTGAAAACCTCTTAAAGATTTCATGATATTTCATTTTCGCAGTATCGTCCAGCACACAACACACTCAGTCACTTTGCTCATAAACACTTATTGTGTATGACGATAATAAAATGTATCGTGATAACAATAAAATATCATAATATCGCTCATCTCTATAACTGCAGTCAGCTCAAATAACTGCCATCTGGCAATTGTGTAATAACTGTGACATGTTTTCTGTGAGAATACCAATTTATGAACCCTGTATCAGGAATAAAATCGAATCGTGGACTGATTGTATCGTTACACCCCTTTTAAATTCCACATTCTGAATAAGAGCATCTGCTAAATCAATACATGTAAATGTAAAATAATAAGACAGTAAGGATGTACGGTGTGTTTCTGACCTGAAGATGGGGCTGTGTGCACTGGCTCGGGTTCTGCCCCAGCCCAGGGCAGGGGGTACCGACAGGTAGTCCATGCCCACAGATGGGGGGTCCCGCCTCAGCTGCACCGGCTCTGAGAGGGGCCCTGTAGACTGCTCCGAATCCACATCCCTGGAGGAAACCTGCGTCAACACCAATATAAGAAAGTTCATTTATACTAATCAACATGCCCAAAAATGACCAATCACACAAGAGCTCAACATCATAGGTAACATCTTTATCCTTGCTCTTCAAAGGCTCTACAGTTTTAGCTTGGAAAGAATCAGAATTTGAATTTCCAGCAGTCCCAGAAACCTATTTTTATTTTAATGGACCGTTATATTAAGCTACTAATCTATAAAGCTATGAAGATGAGTATAAGGCTATCTTACCCCACTGCACTCTTTGTAACCCTCTACGAAAGTTATATTTCTCTTAACTCCCAATTTGTACAGTTTAGGAAAGTTTATGTGGGATCCTTAGCGGTTCAGCAGCCTATGTGTTGGCTCTGATTGTGTGTTCCATGCCCAGTGTTGCCCTAGCCATCCGTAAGTGGGAGTCCAATAACTGTCTTCTCTCTATGGGTGGGTGGAATTGTCCTCCCTCTCCCCATCATGTTGATGCATCTGTTAGCCAATGCAACAGAATTAGCAGTTCAAGTTCTCCTCCAAGCGTGTTGAGCTCCAATGACGTTACGTCATCAGCAGTTTGAAAAGATATAGTAGAGATGTATGTGTCTTATAAGAAGCATGAGACAGTCTTCACCCCCCAGTTTGATAGCATTATATAATAGGAGGAGACCTGCCAGTGGGTGGAATCCACAAAAATCTGGGTAAAAGATGCACAAAATTTATCTGATGAAAAATATCAGATTCCACAGTTTCTGTATCGGCACATCCGCAGTGATTACTTGATTAGTTGCTTCAGATGTGTCAGAGCAAAAAGCACGCAGTAGATGGTGCCAGAATTTAAACTTCATGCATGTCCCCGTTTGCAGCAGCAACATCGTTTTAGCAATTTCAGCATGAAGAAGCGGAGCTTTTTGTGAGCCACTGTGTTTCCTATCACTGTATAAAATACGCACACGGCAGACATTTAAGTGATAGAATTAGTAAGTTCTGTTTGGTTTAGAGACCATGTGTCAAGCACTAGGCCCGCGGGCCTGACACAACCCCACCCGGCCCGCAACAGTATTTTAATTTTCTGTTAATATTTAGTTTCACAGTGCGCTGCACTACAGTCCCCAGCATGCACTGCAATGTAATGTGCGCTCTATTTCTCCTACCCCAACAACTGGGACAGCGGTTACACCTCAATTCTACACAGTTCCACACAATTCCACACCAGTCTTTTCACGAAACCTACTAACTGCATTTCAGCTGCAGATCAAACAACATAAACACTCAATGTCAGCTCAGCAGCTCAGAAACTGAGCCCGAGTCTTAATGAACGTACAGCAAAGAAAGGATGGCAGGTAGGTTTAACAGACTGAGCTCCTGGGGACATAATTTGAGAATTTCAAGTATTCATGTAATACTTCAAGGTCAAGTGTATTTTACTGCTGAAGTTTTTGCACATTTTGAACAAACAACGGCCAGTTTGGGTTACAGCACAACGTTAATTAAAAATGAAATAAAAACATTTTTTCTCTGGCCACAGATCTGACGAGATTTTTCAATACGGCCCCTTCAGTGGTTGAGTTTGACACCCCTGGTTTAACAATAAAGCGCCTGGTTCCAGTCTGTTACCTTTGTTTTCTCGTTCAGAAAGGCTTCAACATGGTGGTGGTAGTATGAGGGAAGACTGATTGAGGGAGGGGGAGAACTCTGAGAACTTGGGCTGGAGTTCTGGGCGGTTTCTTTCTGTAGCTAGAAGGCTGGACCCCCTCATAGCTGTAGTAGGACTGATGTAGGACTGAGGAACAGGGATGAGATGGGGTGGCGGTGGGGATTGAACACTTCGTCACGGGACCAGAAGGAGAGGATGTTAATTTATAGGGCGTTAGATTGGAAGAAGGAGGGGTTTCAGCCATGCTCCTCCCCCCAAACTTCAATTATAACATAACTACATTCTGTGACACAGCTTTGTTACGTCACATTCTGTACATATCAAATGTAATGATTCTCCAGATCCACGGTTCGATTCAAACCTTGGTTATTATTTTGGGGGGTAAATAAGAAAAAAATGGGGGAAACTTTCTGTGTTTTATTGAATCACCAACCATTTAAAACACTATAGAGAAAAACAATAAAGATCATGGTCTACAGCTCGGCCTAACTTTATGTAGAGTAATAGTTTTGTGATTTATATGTGTTATGAGAGCTCAACAAGCTGCTGTTCGGAAATCCTGGCACGAGACGAAGGATGTTTTTATCGCAGTTTAGGTCAAACCCCTAATTATTATCGCAGATAAAAGTGACAGAAATAGCCTGAATCAGCCTTATAGGGTTAGTGAAATCGATCAATCTGATTTGGGACAGTTCTGAACTGGAAACTGTATACAGAAGCGGAATACGAATATTCGATTTTTTCACTTAAAAGTAGCCCAAAATGTTTCCTGTGGCCAAAAATGAGGGCGTACTTTATTAAATCCTATCACAGTTGATTAAAACTTCTTACAACCTTTAGATCGATGCATTACACCCCCAGCTCACCTGCTCTAGAGACGTCTTCCTGGCCTTCTGGGGGATGCTGAGCTCACAGCTGCCGGCCGGACCCTGAGACTGACCGGCGTTCTCCCCCACCTCCAGGAGGGTGGGGTTTTCCTCTGAGTAACTGCCCCTGCGGGAGGTGCTGGGGGAGGCCAGGGGAGAGTTCCTCCTCTTTTTGCCCCCGGGGGAGGTGGGCCGGGAGGAGGGCGAGAGGCAGAAGTGGGCGGTGGCTTCATTAAGCTCCTCCTCCTCCACCAGCAGCGAATCACAGCTGGATGCAGGGCTCAACCAGCCACGGGAGGAGGGGCTAGAGGCGGGGCTTGGGCTGAGTGACCCCGCACCCATCCCACCGTCCCGATAGCAGAAAGGGTCGAGCAGGGGCAGATAGAGACGCTCACGGTCCCAGCCCCCACCAGTGTCCCAATAACTGCCCCCCGGGGGGCCGGAGTCATCCTCCGGGGAAATAGTGGTGATCTGAATGCTCGGACACTCCAGTACTCTAGACTCGGACACCTGAGAGAGACAGAAAGAGGGAGAAGCCTGAGTGAGAGCAGACTGGAGCATCAATAACACTAGCTTATAATTTAATGTATATACAGTCGAAATACGAGGTACACTGTGGTGGTTTTGGTGGGAACTGGTCGATGTTAAGAAGAGCAAATAAACATCAATCCACTTTGGGAGCCACAACATTTTATGTCCATTGTACCATCTTGGCTGTAAATATGTCTCAGTGTGTGCTGATGAACTAGAATAGACTAAAAATATAATATAAATGAAAACTCAGACTCACTTTGCTCTGCTTTAATCTTTAGCTCAGCTATAGCTGCTTTTCTCGCATCTCCAGCAGGAAACTTTTCCACAAAAGTAGATCAGTTTCTTGTAAAATGTCTCTCAATGTTCGACTTTTTACGAGGCTGAAGTCGCTTCTCATTCCCCAGCTTCTTGTTTGAATTTTCCCGTTCCACCTTAAATGGTGCCTGAGGTGCCAGAATGTAACTGCTGCACCATTTAAGGTGGAACGGGAAGATTCAAACAAGAAGCTGGCGAATGAGAAGCGACTTCAGCTTCACGACTTTTTAGTGTTTGTCAGTTTTTCATTGCAGATTAAACGTATCAGGAAACCAGCTGGAGTGATTATAAACGCAATTAGGTCAATTTGTCTCTAAATTATCGATGTTCATCTTAAATCTCTCTCTTTGCCGTTTCGTTAGCTACTAGCTAGGCGAGATTGTTGTCTGTGTTGCTATGGTGACCAGCAGTCTGCGCTGATCTTCAGGGTTAAAGGGTGAATCAGCAGTTCTACATTAACTCCAGAGTTTAAGACCATTTATTGTTAAACTGTGTTGAACGATCAGCAGAGCTTTATTTTACTGTAAAGGAGGATTATTTTATTTTTACCTACTAATCTGATTCAGCTGTGGAGCAACAGGACAGGAAAAGAGCTGACCTAGATGTGAAATTTGCCACTGCTGGAAGTGAAGTGACATTTCGTCCTGGTGTCCCTTCCTATATTGAGATATATATATATATATATATATATATATACATATATATATATATATGTATATGCAGTTGCATATAGTTATGTTATGAATATTTAGGTTAGAATAGGTTTGGTTTCTGACTCTCGCTGCTCTCCAGCCTTCACGTAGATTTGTTCAGTTCCCTCAGCAGCTCCTGATTTAACGTAATGAAGGACTGATTAGATAAAGCAGGTATTGGATGGTAACTGTAAATACTGGATTTCCTCCAGGACATTTAGAAGCTCTAACAGACATTCAGAACAATCACAATGGATAAACAGCTTCTTTTTCTCAGACAGCCTGAGAGTTTTCACAATACTGTGAATAATACGATGTACTAGTAGTTGTAAGTGTAACTAAGTTAACTCATCCTCTACAGGGACACACCTAAATATGGCATTTTAATCTGGTGCATAAACACTAATACTAGTGCTCATGTACTGGAAGGATGACGGACAAAATAAGTGAACAGTAAACAGACAATAGACAATAAATACAGAACAGACTAGAGACACAGGAGTGTACCGTGTAGTTAAATCTAAGTTTAAATATAAGCAAATTCAATTTCTGTTTATTTGCTCAATAAACAGAACATACTGAGTTAAACATATTAGGATAAATAACATTTTTGCACAGGCCTCGTTTTATGTTTTATTTTTCCCCAATATGTCAAATTCAGTAAATAAACAGTGATTGTGTATTAAAGTGTGCAGAAGTGTGTTGCTATGAAGGATATGTGACTTATTTACACTCAGAAAATCAACAACAACATGGAATTTGACCACAAACGTCTGCATGTACATTACAGATAACATGCTTTTATTATCATGTAATAATAATTTAGACAAAATATGTGTTTAATCTTTTAATGTTCTGCTTAACCATTTTGAGTCATTATATATGCCACCAAGTGCCATCTCGACCGTTTGGTAGACGTGAATATTTTAAAAACTGTGGAGTCAAAAAAAAAAGAAAAAAAAATTGTTTATTGTTATTGCCCCAAACAAATTAAAAAATACAAAAATATCCATTGCTTTTTTTCTTGATGAGGACATTAAAGGGTTATGGTAAAAGTACAGACAAAATTCAGGCTTCAAATTGGCTGCTGCTGTTTTTAGATATTGCCAAACGCTGAATCTCCATTTTTGCCATTTTTAAATTTTTTTACATAATCTGAAAATACCAGCTGTCATTTAATCTGTGTCAAAATTTCAGGATGACAGGACCAAGAGAAACGCTCCTTCATTCAGAACTGATTTTGTTCTGTCTATGATAATAAGCAACATATTTTAGTCCATGTTTATAGATAACAGCGAGTCACACAGTGTCAGAAACTGCATAATCAAGACTATTAGAGATTCTGAACAGCTCCTCATGGTTTGAGGTGAGTATCAGATGATTTACACATGCAGTTAGCACCATGCTAATTGTCGGGGTATAAGATTCCATTACTTATTATTATTAGCCTCATTGCACCAGTGCTAAAACTAAAGAAGTGAAACGTCAGACATCAAACACGTCTCGACTGATTGATTACATTTATGATAAGGACTCACTGGGCTCCTCATTTAATGAGCTGATTAGCTGCATCAGGTTGAGCAGAACAGGCACTAGAACATGCAGGACAGGTGGACTCCAGGACAATGAACCACTGCTCTAACACAACTGACCAAACTCCTGAAGAGCTTAAAGGGGAACTCCACCAATTTGTCAAAGTTCCACATAATTAAATAAGACGTAAACGGAGAAATTCAGAGTGGTTTGGTGTGAAACGCTACATTCTCCATGGTGGTGATAGGAACCAGACGTCCACCTCTAAAAGCTCCCTCAAAGAATTTATTACATGAAATGGTTATGAATTCACTGCCTGATGACTGAGACACTGTTTTATGATAGTTTGGAGAACTTAAACTCCATTCATGGTGGAGGGATACATGCAGGGCGCTGTGAGGCAAAATAGTCCCCAAAGAAAACTTATTATTCCAGATTTTCCACTATTTTCCATCATCAACATTCCATATAAACTCAGAAGACTCGTGTAGGTTCACTGGTGGTTCTGGATAGTAAATAAAATGTCTATATTTGTGTTGTAGTCATGGCGACCCCTGGTTCCTATCAGCACCACTGTAAAGACATCTGAACCATCTCACACCAAACCACTCTGAATCTCTCTGATTACACTGCAAAGATGAAATTACATAAAAAATGTGAAAAACCAGTGGAATTCCAGTTTAATAACCACCTGATGAGCTGTATGAGGTGCAAACCGGTAACCATGTTTGATCTCACCTGAACGGAGCGCGCCGGCAGGCTCTCGTACGTCCCGCTGAACTCCCTCACCAGCGCCCGTCTGGGTGGAGGAGAGTGCATCCCTGCCCGCTGTCCAGCTGACGGAGAGGGGGAGGAGATACCTATCATCTGGCTGGTGTGTGTGGAGCTCAGGTGTGTGTCAGGGGCTGGACGGTAAAGAAGGTCATCTTTATTAAAGTCATAAATAAGTACATAAAAAAAATAAATGACAAAAGAAATGAAGGGTGTGTGACATGTACGGTCAGTTGTGTACAAAAGTGTTTTCAAATTCCATGTTAACACATCCTGTACGGAGAACGCCCTTTGAATGCAGTGGCAGGGTGCAAGCTGAGGGGCTTTTATTCCACTTATTTAGTGATTTGTTGTGTTTTTGCGGTTTGACATAACGCATATGTGATGAGGCAAAAGAGCGAGAGAGCAGTGACCACCCCTCTGATCCTATAACGGGCGTTAAAGGACGACTGTGGCCATTTAGTAAATTGGGACAGCCACTTTTTAACGCTAAAATGGAGTAAAACATTAGTAAATCTGACTTTCATCTTTGTCAAAAAATAATCAGAAGATATAATGTTTAAACTTGATGCCAAAACAGTCGTTAAGACAGAAACTTTTTCATGGTGTCAGAGCTGAATACTCCATATAATACCACTTACCAATTAAAATGAATAATATTGTTCCCACATTGTTGAACAAAATTTAACCTCTTATTATATTATATACAAATATTAGTGTTTTATACTTATTTTTAACCTTTCAAAACTGTTTCAAATAAAAGAAATCAGCACAACATATTTATATATATATTTTCATATATATACAGTCACCCCACCTCCGAAATCTAAATTCAACCCCTTATAATTATTATATACATTATTCCCTGATAGCAAGAGGATAGTGGGCCACTTTTGGCCTGCTGATAGCAAAGCTGTTGGTCCACTGGCCTTTTGCTCAGCGTTTTCCGGGCGGCCCATCAGTGTTTAAGCAGAGTATTAGACAAAATTCCACTTCTAATTGCTCATTTTCCACTCACAGTCCAATTTACTGATTTTTCCTTCTTTCTTTTCTTTAGTTATACTTTATAAATTAGTTTAGTAAATAATTTTAATCCAGCACAGAGTCAGCAACATTTTCTATAAATTTATTTTATTATATCAGGCCTAGTCATTATTTTTTTCTCTAATTTTTTTTTTCTCTGTGTGCATTTAAAATCTGTTTGAGGAGATTAAAAACTAGTTGTGTGTCCTTGTGTGCAGGACAGTAATCTGGGTGGTCCGAGGGGGGACCAGCAGTGGCAAACACTCAGCGGGGTGCCACCTGACCAAGCCAGCGGACCAATATATGCTGCTATACTTGTTTTAACCTTTAAACACTGTTTTAAATGAAAAAAAATCAGCACAACAACATATTATTCACAGTTTTTTGTTATTTGCCCAGACATTCTGTGTCAGTCGCCTCTATAGCAAACAGACTATTCGGACGTGAGGTGGAGGTATGTGTGTTGGGATGCGGCGGAGGGATGCTGTGTGTAACCGAGTGTGTTTGGATGGAAAGCTGGAGTGTGCCAGTGCGGAGAGGAGAGGAGAGGAGAGGATGGGCGTGTGCCATGCAGAGAGGAAAGAGGGCAGAGAACGAGGGGAACGGAGGGAGGTGTATGTGTGCATGCTCGGTAAACAGAGTCTGAGGGTTCAGTCCAGATGGCAACTGTTAACGCTACTCACACGCACAGCTGATTAAAACCACATTGTGCTCTACCCTCCTCTCTCACACACTCACCAGCGTGTATTCCTCTCTTTACGGGGCATTTCCGTCCATTACTGTATTACTGTAGCTACATCCTGCTAGCACTATCACAAACCCTGACCTTCACCTCAGCGACCCAAAGATCAGCTCCCGGGCTTTACTTCACGTCCTGTCCCCCCACAAAACTATATATAAACTATACAAACTAAGCTAAAATATATAAACTAAACAGTATATAAATTGTATATGAACTGTATATACATACTACAGTTCAAAAGTTTGGAAATGTTTGTCATATTAATAATTTCTGTTCTTTTATTCAATTATAGCTTAATAACAGTGTAGTTGTACTACACTAGCATACTAATATATATATATTAAATACTATAACCAATTCACCTGTAAGGTATTTAAAGATGTCCTATTTTAATACTATAATATAGTATTTCACTTTTATACTATTAAACAAAGTTATTACATGATAAATAAAGCATTGTAATGATTGTTTATCTATAGTAATTTCTGGATTGAGATTTAATCACCACTTTTCAAATAATATTCTGGATATTAATTTCATTAAAACTTCTTTCTTTACACTAATTTAAATATACATTTTTATGTGAAGCTGTTGAGTGGTAGCTTTCTATTAGAATAATCTTGCACATATACCTTCAAGAAACTGCTTTTGTCTGAATATTTTTAAGGCTGTAGCAATTTAAATAAGCTATATATGTGTAAGATTAGTGAAAAGTTTAAAAAAGTAGGCAAAACGTGAAAGTATACAGCCAATACGTCCCTCACTCTCCTCCCAGGGTCTCCCGTTTACCGTCTTTCATGGATGCTGCTTCGCAATCTTTAGTTTTTAAATTAAATTTGTATTTTTCTGAGCCACACCAATCAGTGTAAAATATAATCAGAGCTCGCAGAAACAAGACATGGTCATAAAACATAAAATGTTGGAAATTAAGTCAAATCTGGGCCTCAGATTATTAAAATGTGAAATACATTCCTCACAATGACCCGCCAGTCATTCCAAAATGTACAGTTTTATGGACATTTGGATTTGGTGCTGGCAAAAAAACTAATGACTACAAAAAATAATGTAATTCGTAAATACAAATTATTCAAAAAGTGAATAATGGGGATCAGTCAGATGTCCCCAAAATGAACCGTCCTGGGAGGGCTGGGTCCCCACAAGTAGCTAAATACATATTTTGACCTAAATTGATGCCCCACACACACACACACACACTCAGCACACACACGTGAGGAATCAGAAAAATGTAAATGTATAGCCTGATGTGTAAATAAATGACCATTTTCCCTCATGGGGACCTGACACATGTCCCCAAAATGAACATCTTGGAAACAGTTGGTCCCCACAAAGACCTAAAATACACACACAAGCATTCTCTCACACTGTCTCTCTCTCTCTCTCTCTCTCTCTCTCTCACACACACACACACACACACACTTCCAGCTAAGAGCACATGAAGATTCAGCTAAGCTAACTCATACACACAGTTTATCAGCATCAGTTCTGTGGAGCTCCAGCGCCGCGGCTGTGCCCGCTGTCCTCAGCCGCTCAGAGCGCACTGACCCCCGGCCACCCGCTCACCTGCGCCCGCGGCCTCCTGCGGATCCTCCTCGAACACCAGCTTAAACTCAAACTCTCCCTCCTCCCAGCCGGAGCCCGGGGCTGCCCCCATCCTCAGCACAGAGAGAGAGAGAGCGAGAGAGAGAGAGAGAGAGAGAGAGAGAGAGAAAACTTTTTGGAGGAAGAAAAAAAAAACACGCGAAGGTCCAGCTTCTCCTCCCTCCACGACTCCGTGTGTCCACTCTCACATTCCCACGACTCTCATCTCTTCATCCTTTATCATCCGTTCAGCGTCTTTCTCTCCTTCCTCGCGCTCTCAAAACTTGTCCTCGCGAGCTACCATCGCTCCAAAAGGGCTCGTGTAGCTCCAGCTCCAGTGTGGGACTCCTCACTCACTCACTCGCTCGCTCACTCGCTCACTCGCACACTCCTGCACTAATATCATGCTCACTCTCACACTCACTGGCTGCAAAAAAACTTTTATCAAACTTCTTTCTGCCCCCTCCTCTCGTTCTTTACCCTTAATTGCCTTTGGGTGGATTCCTCCAGCTCCCTCTCGGCTCCTTCACTCCATCCCCTATTGGTCACTTCATCTGTCAATCAACAGACTCCCAAAAACTCCACCCCTATCCCCCCAACCCCTCCTTCCTTTCCCAGTTTCCTTTGCCCACTCTGCTCAGGGCTTTCATTGGCTTTCAGTGAAACCACATCTTATGTGGGTGAGTTATAACTTCATGATAACCGCGAGAAGCTCTCCAGCGTACATTCATCAAGGCAGAAGCACGTTCCTCCCCCCGTCCGACGGAGAATTCCCTGGACGGGGACCAGCGAGAGAAGCTTCGGCCTGGAAAGAGTAACCCGTCCCGCCCCGAGCGTGGCCCTGTGTATCGATTCCGCCGCGCACTACGTTCTTACACTTTTCCCTGTGTACTGTTGTCGTATGCTACACGTTACATTTTCACACTACATTCTTACACTATATACTATACACTATATTCTTTCACTATGCACAATAGTCTAACACTATACATTCTGCACTATATTCTTACACTATACACTTTACACTATACTGCTACACTAAACACTGTACACTATACTGCTACACTAAACACTATACACTATATTCTCACACTAAACACTATACACTATATTCTCACACTAAACACTATACACTATATTCTTATACTAAACACTATACACTATATTCTCACACTAAACACTATACACTATATTCTTATACTAAACACTATACACTATATTCTCACACTAAACACTATACACTATATTCTTATACTAAACACTATACACTATATTCTCACACTAAACACTATACACTATATTCTTATACTAAACACTATACACTATATTCTCACACTAAACACTATACACTATATTCTTATACTAAACACTATACACTATATTCTTATACTAAACACTATACACTATGCTGCTACACTAAACACTATACACTATATTCTCACACTAAACACTATACACTATATTCTTATACTAAACACTATACACTATATTCTTATACTAAACACTATACACTATGCTGCTACACTAAACACTATACACTATATTCTTATACTAAACACTATACACTATATTCTTATACTAAACACTATACACTATATTCTCACACTAAACACTATACACTATATTCTTACACTAAACACTATACACTATATTCTCACACTAAACACTATACACTATATTCTTATACTATACACTTTACACTATACTGCTACACTAAACAATATACACTATATTCTCACACTAAACACTATACACTATATTATTACACTATACTATACACAATATTATTACACTAAACACTATACACTATATTCTTATACTAAACACTATACACTATATTCTTACACTAAACACTATACACTATATTATTACATTAAACACTACACTATATTATTACACTATACTATACACAATATTATTACACTAAACACTATACACTATATTCTTAAACTAAACACTATACACTATATTCTTACACTAAACACTATACACTATATTATTACTCTATACTCTATATTTTTAGTCTATACCCTGTATTCTTACACTAAGTACTATACATTATATTCTTACACTAAACTCTTAAATTCTATACATTACACACATTGCTATCGGGTGACTGGGTTTTTGTAGTGCATGGCGCGCTCAGGCGGTCCTCGTAAAGTCATAAACATGTGAAGGAAATGGTAAACACGGATTCATGAGCAGTTCATGAGTCGTTCAAGGTCCACGTTCCTCAAGTTTACAAGTAACACACGTATCACCAGCCAGTGCGTTCTGAGCTGAGCAAGCTGGGAAACAGTATGCCCTGAGTTAGTGGTGCACAGATCAATAACAATGTCTATATCAAAATGTTCATAAATGGTTATAACATTAAGCCAGACTGTAGAGAGTAGACAGGCTCTGTCACCAGGCATCCAACAATAAACAAAAATACTAAGATCAACAATAAATAGTGCCGTCTCAAAGGGTTTTTTGTTTGTGCTCTACGGAAATGACAAATTGTGACGTGGCAGCTGTTTCACATGTGCCAACAACGTCTATAAAAACAATCGCCAACTGCTGTTTGTTTCTTATTTGTGTTGACGGATCACTTATAGGCATATATACACACACACACACACACACACACACACACACACACACACACACACACACACACATATATATATATATATTATGTGCATTTGTATATCAGACACAGCAGTGCTGCTGGAGTTTTTAAACACTGTGTCCACTCACTGTCCACTCTATTAGACACTCCTACCTTGTCAGTCCACCTTGTAGATGTAAAGTCAGAGACGATAGCTCATCTGCTGCTGCACAGTTTGTGTTGGTCATCCTCTAGTCCTTCATCAGTGGTCACAGGACGCTGTTGGCTGGATATTTTTGGTTGGTGAACTATTCTCAGTCCAGCAGCGACACTGAGGTGTTTAAAAACTCCAGCAGCACTGCTGTGTCTGATCCACTCAGACCAGCGCAACACACATTAACACACCACCACCACGTCAGCGTCACTGCAGTGCTGAGAATGATCCACCACCCAAACAGTACCTGCTCTGTGGGGGTCCATGGGGGTCCAGACCACTGAAGAACAGGGTAACAAAGTATCAGAGAAACAGATGGACTACAGTCTGTAACTGTAGAACTACAAAGTGAAACTATACGGTCAGCGGAGCTGATAAAGTGGACAAAGAGGAGCATGCATATTCCACTACTGTGTAGTTGGCTAGTACACTATGGGAGTGCTTGATTTGGGACACAGCCTGGGCAACGTTTACAGCGTGTCGTATAAAAACGCTGCGGACACTCTGATGCGTCCTGTTGACAGGAACAAGACTGAACTCTGATGGCGATGACAGGCCGCCCTCCTGTCATCTTCTCTCTTCCCTCCATACTTTGCGCTCTCTGCCCCTCCCCCCTCCATTTTCTCCATTTTCTATCCCCCATTCCTCTCCTTCACTCCTCCCCCCCACCCACCCCCAAAGATCTGTTTCTCATTATCCTCTGTAGTCTGCACTCTGTCTGAGACGGAGACCAAAAACTTAAATAAACATCTCTCTCCCTCTCTCCCTCTCTCTCTCTCTCTCTCTCTCCCTCTCTCCCTCTCTCTCTCTCTCTCTCTCTCTCCCTCCTTCCCCTTTCTCACGTTATCTTACTGCCTATGTCTTCAAGCGTGTCTCCTCGACATCTACTAAAACTATCACTGGCTTTTCACTCACACTCCGAGCGGCTGATCCCCCCCTGGCTGCTGCTGCTGTACAGATTTGTAGCATCAAAACTATGCGATGTATTCATTTTCGGCTCAGTTTGTTGTTTAGAGCCCAGTTCCGCTGGGACGGAGAGGCCGATTTGAGGCCGTTATCAGGGAAGAGGGTGCTGACATGAGGAATATTATGATGTAAGGCCTTGTGTGGTCTTCCGCGTGGGGCTTCATTTGTTTAGCAAGCCAGGAAGCGTAATTACAGACAAACAGAATGCGCTGTGTTCAAAATGATCCCCTTATACACCACATAGTGCACACTTTTTATTCCGTGTCTGAAAGTATGCCCTTATACACTACATAGTGCACTAATTTTTTATTATATGTCCAAAACTATGTACTTGTACACTTCATAGTGCACTCTATTTTGGGCTATGTCCCTATACACTACATAGTGTCCTCTTATTTCGGCTATGTCTGGAATTACGTCCCTATACACTACATAGTGCACTCTTTTTTGAGCAATGTCTTGAATTATGTCCCAATACACTAAATAGTGAACTCTATTTTTTGGTTATGTCTTGAATTATGTCCCTATACACTACATAGTGCACTCTTTTTTGAGCAATGTCTTGAATTATGTCCCAATACACTAAATAGTGAACTCTATTTTTTGGTTATGTCTTGAATTATGTCCCTATACACTACATAGTGAACCCTATTTTTGGGCTATGTCTCTATACACTACATAGCGCACCATTATTTGTACTATGTCCGAAGCTATGACCTTATACACTACATAGCGCACTATATTTTGTTTCGTTCCCAAAAACGTCCCTTATACGCTACATAGCGCACTATATTTTGTTTTGTTCCCAAACCGTCCCTTATACACTACATAGCGCACTATATTTTGTTTTGTTCCCAAACCGTCCCTTATACGCTACATAGCGCACTATATTTTGTTTTGTTCCCAAACCGTCCCTTATACGCTACATAGCGCACTATATTTTGTTTTGTTCCCAAACCGTCCCTTATACGCTACATAGCGCACTATATTTTGTTTTGTTCCCAAACCGTCCCTTATACGCTACATAGCGCACTATATTTTGTTTTGTTCCCAAACCGTCCCTTATACGCTACATAGCGCACTATATTTTGTTTTGTTCCCAAACCGTCCCTTATACGCTACATAGCGCACTATATTTTGTTTTGTTCCCAAACCGTCCCTTATACGCTACATAGCGCACTATATTTTGTTTTGTTCCCAAACCGTCCCTTATACGCTACATAGCGCACTATATTTTGTTTCATTCCCAAAACCGTCCCTTATACGCTACATAGCGCACTATATTTTGTTTCATTCCCAAAACCGTCCCTTATACGCTACATAGCGCACTATATTTTGTTTCATTCCCAAAACCGTCCCTTATACGCTACATAGCGC